ACTCAGAATATATGATATCCGGATGTTTGGATCTTGCTAATAAACTCTTGTAACCGTTCATCCCTGATCTAGATCCCAATATCATAGTTTTATATCTGGATATCTGAATTTAAATCCGTGTAATATTTTGGTTATTTATTTACATATTAATCATAATAACTAGATTTCGACCCGCACAACCGTGCGGGTATTTTAATACGAAAATATTTGAAATTATATAATAAAATTTATCAATAAATAAGTATAATTTGATTATTTATGCTATCCAATTTATAATCATTTTTATGTGACTTATAATGTTATTAATATAAAATTTATAAATTTGTATTTTTGTAATAATTTACTTATTATGTAAGATTATTAATTTATATATTTTGTTTTATTTCTAAATTTGAAATATATGTAAAAATTAATTAAGTTGGACCTAAATAATACATAAACAAAATTTTGGGATATTGTTAAAAGTATTTTACATAATTTCAATTTTTGTTTATAAATTAAAAATTAATTCAAATTTTAATTATATTTTATGATATTAAGATTTTAATCAAATAATTTTTGAAACTATATCTTGAAAAAGATTCTAAAAGATTTTGTTAGAATTTTCTTAAAACTATTTATTTGTATTTTAAACAAAAAATTAAAGATATGAAAAGATATTATAATGTTATGTAAAATTTTATAAAACTCTATAGATGGTCCAAACTAAAATATCACACATGACGTGAGTCATGACTTCTCTTTTAATATATTAGATTTGACATGTTTAAATGAAACTGTTTCATTTGTGATAAAAATTCAAAAAGGTAATAAAAAAATTTTAATATTTTTTTGCATAATCAGTTAGATATAAATATTTGAGTACGTGCTCATATGCGAGTTGTTACTTTCAAACATCGTCTTTTTAGTTTTAAAATTAGGCTTCATTTGGTATTAGAAAATTTTGGGTGGGTTTTGAGTCCGGATGAATTTGGTTTTCATGTATAGAAACCTAAAAATATCAAATTAATGTATCTGAAACATATTGATATATTTATACCAAAAATAACCATACTAACCTATTTAGTTTGAATATTTTAAATGCAAACTAAAAATAATTAAATAACTAAAGTACCTGTATTAGAGGGTGATTGGTTGAACTGTAGATTTAAAAAAATTACTGTAGAATTTAGACTTTAGATGTTTTTGATGTAGTTGTATGTAATGTACCTGTAGAAATTAAATGAAAAAAATATAAAAAAAAGATATTCTTACAATAATCCTACAGCAATAAGTTTTTGCTTTAGAAAATAGGGTTATTACAACCACTTTTCTATTTTTTTGACTTTAGCTTTAAAAACTACTTAAAGCATGATTGGTGATTTAAATGGTTGTAGATATAAATTAAAGCTAAAGTTATTACTTACAACTCAACCAATCCTAGAACAATAATTTTTTGCTTTAGGGTTATTACAACCACTTTTCTATTTTTTTTGACTTTAGCTTTAAAAACTACTTAAAGCATGACTGGTGATTTAAATGGTTGTAGATATAAATTAAAGCTAAAGTCATTACTTACAACCCAACCAATCACCCTCTCTATTTGATTAGGATTCAATCCTGAAGTATAAAATTTAAAATATTAAAATATTTATACAAATTATATAATGACACATATAAAATATATAATATTTTTATGAAAAATAAGATATTAATTTATAAAAAGTAAAAAACTAACATCCCGAATGCATGTACAGATCAATAACTCTTATAAACCCAAACTGCTCAATGGGCATGTGCTTAATTATTACTTTAGTTTTATTGTCTAAGTACAATATCCGTTTTCACTCTTATAAACTCAAATTGAACGTTAATATCACTTTTGTCCCTTTGGGGACGTCCGATAAAAAAAATCCGATTATCTGAAAGTGTTATTGTAGCTGAATGTTTTCTTCTTTATTGTTATGCAAGTCAAAAACATCAACGTTCAATTTTTGTAGAGATATCATGTTATATCAACTATAGAGTTTTGACGATCCTAATTGAGAAAATATCAAATGATTTTTCAAGGCCTTACAATCGTTGAATAATTTTTCCTACTACTTGATGGTTTTAAAATTATGGTATCGTTTTATCTCGAGAAAAAAGAACTATAGGTACACGGACTCAAAGGAGACAGGAGAATCATAGCATATGATTTATTTTGAGATATCGTGTTTCTAAATAGGATTCTTTTCATGTAGTGATTTCTTTTCTTTTTTCTCTTTAGTCTCTATGAAATTTTTGGAGTCGGATCACATTAAAATTTTTGTCCCTCGATTAGTTGAATTGACCAACCAATTTTGACATAGCAACCCTTAGTCGGATCATAGCCATCCAATTTTTACATCTTCTCTCCCCGAGCGAAGTTCGATAATAATCAATGTACAGTACTTGAATCAGACTACAATTAACTTAAAATTAAGTTGGGCTATATCTTCTTTAATGTTTACATATGTCAACATCAGGAATACTTTGCCTAAACGTGACATGATAACACTAATAAAGCAATTACCCCACACGACGACCGAAATGTAAGTTCTTATTGCTATCCATGAATTTTGTTATATGATTAGTTTTGACCGTGCAATTGGTAAGCAAATGTGACTGTTAACACAGATCACTTTTGAATTCAGGATTCTAATTTGAAAATTTCTGCGTTAGTAACACCGGTAAAACCAGTGTTCGATTCTTAAATTCTGTCCAAATCCTTCTATTTTTTGTATGTTCCCCTTATAATCTCCCCCCCCCTTTTTTCTCGCAGGCAATAATTAATGCTTTGAGCCAATTACTAACTATTTTTTTCTGCTTGTAGGTTAAGTTTACAAATACTCTCGTCTAAAACATTTATTTTCATTTTGTAAAAAACTTTAAAATTAATACAAAGAATTATGAGGACTAGTATACTTTCTTTGTCGTAGTACCATAGTATAGATACATACATTATATTTTACGTAATTTATTGTTCTTGTATACTGCTTCTCATAGGAAAATAGTTTCAACCTACCAATATATAATAATTGAAAATTTTATTAAAAATATTTTAAATGGCATCCACTGAAACTTTAAACTTCCAATATTTTTGACTAACACTTTAAGTTTAAGTTTGATATATTTTTTGCTTAAAATAAAATATCAACCATATTGTCTCAGCATAAATCATAATCTTCCAATTCAAATTTAGGTGATACTCGATTGTTCATTTTTGGAATTACGTATAAATTATTTCATAACACTACCAAGAAGTTGGTATATCAAAATATATTGATAAAATTCGTAGATATATTGTAAAAGTTAATATACATATTTCTTGTGTTGAAATGAATGTTCACTCTATATATCAATGTTCAAAAAATCTCTAGGTGCTAACTAGGTGGTTTATAGAACACTAGCGACTAGACGGATTATTCGGATCTAGATGAAATCTATGCATTAATAAATTATTATTTATTATATATATATTTTCTTAATTATATAAGATATTTTAGTTTTTGACATTAATTATAAAATTATTTTGATGAATAATCAAAATTAGATAAAATTTTAGATTTGAACTAACATATTGTTTAGTTTAACAGATTTTTATTAATTTGGATCGATTTCAACCGAATTAAAATGATCTCAATCGTTTTTAATCGACTAAATTAGATTTTGTGAAAACCGTTTCAGTTAATATCAACTTGCTGTCCAGACGGGAGTATAAGCGCCACCTAATCAGATTTTAGGAACCTTGCTATATATTATCAAATCCGATAGTTGTATCTATAAAAAGACAATAAGCTTTCGGACCCATGCATATATATATGTTTCTTACGGTTATTCTATGTGATCAACGATATGATTACATGGAAAGAATAAGAGTGAGTTACACAATTAGGCACTTTCTTGACTTTTCTTACATGAAGAGGCACTTGTTGCTTGAGAGGCACTTTTTGTCTACGTTTCCTCTCTCTCTCTTGTATCTAAAGACAAACAAGTCTTTCTCTGGTTAATTAAAGCAGAACCAACATATTGCTCTCTGGTTATGTAAACCAGCGGTTTATTATTTGGTTTTTACATTCGAATTTTTTTTGCTTTCTTATCTTCTGTCCTTGATAGCCTCTCTCTTCATCCTTTCAAATAACCACATCCATCATATTCACTACCCATGTATCCACCACTGCCGTATCCGCAACTATTGTATCCACATTAAGTTTTTCACCACCACCATCGTATCCACCATCAACTTCTCCTCTTCATTAGTAACCTTTATTGTAACAACCAATACCAAATACTTCACAACCACTGCCCAAGTCACAACACTCAAACGCATACATGGTTCCAGCATCAATATTTATATAAGGATCTAAAAACCAAGTGCTCCACATAAGCAAAAACAGCAACCAAAGAAGAGTAACAGAGAAGAGAAAAAGTACCAATTTTTATAGAGGAACACAGCTGATAATCCACCCCCAAAATTTCATGTTATGAGCACGTCCCATAAGAAAGAACTGAAGCTATATTTGTAAACACAAACCAAAGAGACTTTGGTCATAACATAAACAAAGTCTTTAGAGATCCAAGCCAAAGCCATTACGAAGAAGTTACGGTGATAAAACCATTACAAATAGCTCAATGATTCTGAAAACTTGAAACTAGAAACCATCCATAAAAATGTCAAAAATCTAATCTTTATATACATATATATGTATTATATATTTGATTCATTAGAACAATAAAATCTCAAAATCTCAAAATCTAATCATGCTAAGTAATTGAATTACCTAAATCGAAATCTAAAAAAAAAAGTGAAGATATAATTAGCTCGTAATGAATCACTTTTTATCTTTATGGATGATGAACTTGTGACCATCCATGTCCACAAATGACAGCTATGTTTGGGAGAGCTTCCCAAAGCGACATTCTTTCACAGTCCGGATCTCTGAGATAGTGCAAGCCGTAGTTCATCCCCTCTCTGATGAAACGATAGCTGAATCCGCAGCTTATTCTTCCACGGTTAAACGATCGATTATGTAATCTTTAGGAGCTGAGAAGACTTCTATCGCGTTGATGAAGGAAAAGGTGGAAGCTTTCGCAGGGAGAAACGAAATCTCTAAAACAAAGGAATCGATTTTGAGTATGAACTCTTTCACGGAGATGGTGTTGGTGGTGAAGGTGTTTAATACGGAGAACCCATTGATCAAAACGGAGAATTTAGCTGATTTTAAGTTAAAGTTCGAAGCTTTGAACGGTGCGAAGTGGAGACGGATGAAGTGAGTGGCGTTGGTGGTGGTGAGGTGGAGTTTGTAGGCGGGAGATGGTGGTGATCCGCCGGGGAAGATACGAGCTGTGTGGTATAAAGCGGGGGAATCCGGAGGTGGGTTTTGGTCGGAAAGAGAGATGGATCGATCGGCGGTGAGAAAGGTGGAGCCTTGTGTTGATGAGTCGCCGAGGAAGGAGCGGGTGGAGAAGAAGGAGGTGTTGGTGGTGGCGCCGCAGTTAAGGAGGTAGTTTTCTGGTGGAGTGAAAGTGGCGGAAGAGAGGTGGAGAAGGGAGGAGAAGGAGACAAGGGTGAGGATTAGATTTACTGGAAACGCCATGGGAGAGTGGTTTGGTTTGGGTCATTTCATTTGGTTTGGATTTGTTTTTGGTACATACGGTTTAATGATTACGGTTTACATTTTGGTTTGGTTTGGGGAAGAAAGGGACTAAAGAGACTTTCCACTCCCACAAAGTGTGTGACAAGTAAGAAGTGTTCCTAAATGTAATTGAGAAGAGAAAAAGTGTCCTAGAATGTAAATTTCTCAAAGAATAAATCAGTGGTCATTGTCTCCGCATGGTTCGGCGAAAAGTATTCGTATAAATAAGCATTAGATTACGAATTTATAAAGCTTTAACGTCGGCTGATACATAGAGCGTTAGATTACAAAGCTTTGGCGTCGGCTGATACATAGAAACAAAACAAAACAAAAAACATTGACGTCAAGCTCACCATCTCTCTATCTATGCGCATTACCACGAACCATAGAATCAAATTATCAATTGAACACCTTAAAAGTGACACCAAATAGTAATTATCAAACCAAAAATCTCAAAATTGCAGGACTAGCTTGATTATAACGCCTCACATGATATACGGCAAAACATTAATTAGTAGAACGTACAAAGTTCGAGACTTCGACTTGTTATAGTTCTCTCTCCTGGAACATGAGTGTAACTAGACGACCCCCAAAGCCTGCAAAAACACACAGAATCTTTTCTTTGGGTTTTTGGACCGGTCTATAATCAATCTCACGTGCAAAACAAAACATACAACATCTCTCTCTATATCTTATATTTTCACAACTCAATTGTTTTGGATTTTCTTTGAGACTTCTTCTGCTCTTATCTATATATAATATAAATATATATCAGCTTTATAGACCTCACAAGCTTCTCCTCGCTTCCATTGATCAAAGCCACAACTTTGTTTGATCTTCTTGTTTCTTTTTAGTATCTTTACTTTACTCTTCAATTTTGCTGAATTTTTTAGAGAAAATTTTTCGATTAATTTCTTTTTATTGGAGAATTATATTACAAGTTTAATTTCCCTAGTGTGTCTTTACCTATTGCCTTGTTCCCTCTCGAGACAAAAAGAGAAAGACAAACACTTTCTGTCTTTCTGTTTTTTCCCCCTCTCTCTCTCTCTCTCTCTCTCTTGCTCAGACCCTTTTCAAAATTTGTAACTAATTATGGCCTTAGAGGCTATTGTTTACCCGCAAGATCCATTCTCCTACATCTCTTACAAAGATTTTCAGTTTCTCGACTTATACTTTCAACAAGAAGAAGATCAGGATCAACTACTAGACACCAAGAACCACATTAAGCTAGGGCAAGGACAAATACAAGGGTTTGAGAGTATTAATTATAACGGTAAAAGCGGAGATAACAATGATGATTGTAACTACAACGTTGAGGAGGAACTTCAATGGCCACGAGACGACCTTCCTTATGGATTCACCGTCGACAACGAGAGCCAGCCTCCCTCTTCGGATGCTGCGACGGGAGGAGGGAAGAGAAAGAGGAGGAGGACGAAGAGTAGCAAGAACAAGGAAGAGATCGAGAACAAGAGGATGACTCACATCGCCGTCGAGAGAAACCGTCGGAAACAAATGAACGAGTACCTCGCCGTTCTCCGTTCTCTCATGCCACCTTCTTATTCTCAAAGGGTTAGTCTCTACATACAACAACTATATTCGTATAATTGTGTATGTATATATGAGCGCGTGACATCTTTTCTCGTGACGAAAAGAAAAGAATAGAAAAAGACAAGACCTATGTTCTAGACTTCTAGTTTCATTCGGACATATGTAGGCTATATGCATGCATATGTATATGTTTAACATAAGTTTGATAAAATGATGGATGAATGAAAGCCGTTATGTTGATTTTATTCGTAATATAAGATCGTGTAGTCTCTTTAGATAGAAACTTTTGGTAGTGTCATTTACAAAAAAAAAAAACTTTTGGTAGTGGAATTGTGGGAGCATAAATAAAGTCTTGAATATCATTGCACTAAAAAGGACTATAGAGATTATATATCTGCATGATAAAATTGTGACATAATATATAAATATTTAAACAAGGTAGCTTGTTTTTGAAAAAACCTTTTTGCAATATCTATGGGCTTAACCTATGGTTGGTGATGATTGAAAGGGAGATCAAGCGTCAGTAGTAGGCGGAGCCATTAATTACTTAAAGGAGCTTGAGCATCATTTACAATCAATGGAGCCTCCAGTAAAGACAACAGCCACAGAAGACACCGGAGCAGGCGCCTGCGACCAGATGAACACGGTCGCCGCCAGCTCATCTGGACTGTTCTCAGATTTCTTTGCATTTCCTCAATACTCGAGCCGGCCTTCCTCCTCGTCCGTGGTTGAGGGAACGGCAGAGATAGAGGTGACAATGGTGGAGAGCCATGCGAGTGTGAAGATACTTGCGAAGAAGAGACCAAAACAACTTCTTAAACTGGTGGCATCCATACAAAGCCTAAGGCTTACTGTTCTTCATCTCAACGTTACCACTCGTGACGACTCCGTCCTCTATTCCATCAGTCTAAAGGTACATTTTCTTATCTTACTCTTTTTTTTTATATTTCCACTATTTATAGCTTCATAACGAAACTTGAGTTAGTGACAAGTAATACCATATTTAGGGTTTTATAATGTGTTGCAATGCAAAGCCAAACTAAGGTGGTACTATTAATATTGGATCAGTAATATAATCATCATTGTGATTGTTATTTTTGGGTCAATGATTCATTGGTTCTTCTTCCTTCACATTAAGTTTTATTCATAATACTTATCTTTTTCACACATATAATTTGCTCTTATTTGTACGGCTTGCTATTTATTTGTCTGGGCCAAAACGGTTTTGAAGAACAATTTCGTATATTTCGATTTACTTGGTAAGGGCAGGCCTCAATTGCAATTATTGGGGGTGGGGTCAAATCATCAATTTTTATTTGTCAAAAATACAAAAATCTGACTATCAAAATAATGATTCTTGTAAGAATCAGCAGGGACCAACAAGATGACATATGCCTATAAATGTGTGTATGTGTGTACATGTGTACTTGTGGAAGTTTTGGTGGTCACAGACTCACAGTGACAGAACAGTGGATGCACTGTGCACGGCAGAACGAAATGACGCCACTAGTTTCAGGACACATTCATAAGTCTCTTCCTCGAAATATATACATTTTCTTTATTATTTTTCGTTTTACCTATTTTAACTGTATTAACCCTTTTCATGTAATTTATATTTGAAGTTTACTTTGATTCTTTTTAATTAGAAAAAATGGGTTGATTCAGGTTGAAGAAGGGAGCCAATTGAATACAGTGGAAGATATTGCAGCAGCTGTGAATCAAATCCTTAGGAGGATCAAAGAAGACTCATCCTTTAGCATATAGTTCAACTTTAGTATGACACATTTAGAGGAACTCTAAGTTTTCATGTGTTATCTTTTACTCCTTTTCATATTAAATTAATAAAAATAAATAACTTTCCATTGGTCGTGTCTTTTTACTGCTTCTCTTTTCATGTATGTTGATGCTTCATGTGTCATTTGCGTCTCTATTTAGCCCATCATTGAAATGCAGCATTTGCTTACCAAGACGTGGTGAATGTGTAACGTTCACTTTTGGACGTTCACTTTTGGTCCAGGTCTTGTCGTCGAGTGGTAAAGAGACGAATTTGAGATATGCTAATACAGTTCATGTTTGATATATCTATTACGCGAAACTAAATCATATTGTTCTTAGATACCCACATAAATATAAGTTTTTGTTATCAATTCATTTGAATATCTGGAGAAAGAATTTTCCATGAATTGCATTTTCTTTAAAGATTATTCTGATCATTTCATAGGTTTGAAATATCCTAAATTAATAAAAAAAAACACTGGTCTTGATCCTTAAAATTTCAATGACTAATTTATACATAAATTGGTCTATAAATTGATTAAGGGAAAAATATCTGTAATAGTAATTGTTTCAAGTTATATGAATCCCTGTTCGTGGGCATGAGAAATCGAGGTCAGTTTTCAGTTTAGCTAAAATTGTGTGCTTCGTTTCTAGTTTACAATTGTGTTTTCCTTATAAAGATTACTATTAAAATTAAAGATAGATGGAAGGTTGTTTTGTAATTTTTATAGTTCAAATGCTTTTTAGTTTGTTTTGTCCTTAAGAAAATGATTAAATATAAACACGAAATCGATCATACCATGATGATGATCATGTTATCTTTGACTCTCTTCTATCCACCGGTCCTTAAATCAACTTTTATTTAAACACAGATGCACAGAAATACCAGTACGTGGGTTTCATGTAACAAGACAACGATGATTGTCGTATCATGAATACCCATTAAAGATCTTTCGAATCTATGTTTTTTCACTTTCTGATTTAAAAAGCAAAAGTCAGTAGAAGTTAAAAGTAAAGGTCTACCGATGTGATTACACAAAAATGTCATTCCCTCTATCATCTAGCTAACTGTTCTGTTTTAGCATTTTTCATGATTAAAATTTTGAATCACCAACTTTTCCTTAACTTTTCCTCGAGTAAATATTTGTTTGGATGTGATTGAAAATGGATACATATCCAATTTAACATGATCAAATGTAAATATCTATAATAACTTGATCATGCTTTTTTTTTTATTAACTAAAAATGGTTAAATCCGAATCTATTAAAAAGACAGATCTAACACCAGATCGAAGTAGATTTTTAAATTAATCTTAACACCATGTTACAATAATCTTAACACCATGTTATAGATTTTTAAAATAATATTATAGTATTTATAAAAAAATATGGTAGTGACACAATATATTAGTACAATTTTACCATATATAGATATTTCTTATTAGAAACATTAAAGATTTATAAAGTACTAATAAATAAATGAATATTTTATTTATTTTTTAAAAATTGTTTAGTGTGTAAGTTTACAATAAATTTATTTAAAATTTAAATTATTTTTGTTTATGATTCTTTTAATTAAGGTAACTACCATATAAATTGTTTTATAATTGAACTTTATGTCATAACTATGCTAAGCCATGTTATAATTACATAAGATTCATGTCATCATTTTTAATAGTATCATCATTTATTGTTAGAAAGATTGTGTTGAAGGCGGCTAAATAAGTAACGTATCAAATAATGTTAGGTGATATGGATAACGTCATAACAATAAACATGAACATGCCAGGGGAAGGTAAAAAAGGGTGTATACAGATTTGGCTTGACTAGCTTGGAGTTATATAAACTCGTGGGCTCTCCCTGTAATTCGAAAAATGGTTTAGTAGTAGAGACTTCCTACAGCTGGTTCTTGATAGCAATTGTAGGGAAAATCGGTTCTCAGGTTCCTATATAGCAATCGAATGTTTTGTTGGTCTCCGATGCTAACATAGGGAAGAGGTTTCAGTGCTTCTTATTCGCCATTAAATCTCTTACTTGGTTATGTTATATAGAGAAATCAAAACACAGATACAAAAAATATGTGATGATATAGGACTAGTAAACAAGTTTTTCAAGATTCCGAATAATTAACACTCCCGATCATTGCTGAAAACCCACGGACTAGAGAAAGGGCGCAGTGGAGGCACAGGGGAGGAGCAGACAGTAGCTTTTTAATTACAAAAAGTGTCACGCTTTGACATTTATTTCCTCCTCCATCCACATTTAGGTATGTCTCAAGAATACTATTCTTTGCTTCTTCTTTTTTTTTGTCTTGCCTTCTGTTTTGCTCGATATCTCTTCGGTCCCAATGCACACCAACTATTCGTTTAAATGCCGCATAGAAACCCCACTTCGATTCTATAATCGCATTCTCTGTTCTTGATACGATTTAATGAAAGACGGTTTGATTTCAGGAAATTGGTTTTTAAGTTCTGTGTTTTGTACCATATCTTTCTTACACAGACACATGTTTTTTCAATCATCTGGAAGCTCCGCAATGCGTAAGGTAGCTTGAAACTATTTGGGGTTTGTTTGATATGTACAAAGATCGTCTAGGAAAGCCACAAACTGCACACTTTCTATGTTCTTTACATCCTCAAAGCTTCTACATTAAAAAAAAAAAAAAGCTTCTACATTGATTATATATTTACTCAGATGCACACTGTTACGTCCTTTCTTGCTTGCTTGGCTTGGTTTGTGGTTTCCGCTTCTATATCGTTAAGCAAGTCTACAACTTGTTGGATGTTTGGTCTTTTCACTGGATTTTGGTTCACACACATGCAGGCTATGTTAAGAACACGTACCATCACTCCTTCATCATCTCTCAGCAGTGGATCAAATACTTCCTCTATTCTCCCTTCCTTTCTCATATGATGCACCCACGCTACCAATTCTCTTGACATCTTTGGCCTGAAGACCTCCATGGGTCTTTTCCCGGTGAGAAGCTCGAGCATGACCACACCAAAACTGTACACGTCGCCTCTCAAAGTAGCTACCCATGTTTTTTCATACTCTGGGGGAATGTAACCTAATGTGTCCACAAGCTCAGTTCTAACATGGGTGCGATATGGAAGGAACAGTCTTGACAACCCGAAGTCTGCGAGGTACGCCTTGAAACTTCCATCCAAAAGGATGTTACTAGACTTGATGTTCCGGTGTACTATGTGTGGTTCACATATCTGATGTATATATGCTAGTCCACAACTTGCTCCTTTCATGATGTGAAGTCTTTTTGGCCAATCCAGCTGAGCTGGACCATCGAGATTTTCATGCAGCCAATAATCAAGGCTTCCTTTCTCCATGAACGAGTAAAGAAGTAGCCGGCCACTATTATGGACCCAGTAGCCTTGTAGAGCGACCAGGTTTTCATGTTTGGCCCTGGACAAAACTTCTACCTCTACCTTGAATTCTTTTTCCATCAGACCATAATCTCCTGTGAGTTTTTTAACAGCTAGTTTCGTCCCATTATCCAAGCTAGCCTTGTAGACAAGGCCAAACCCGCCACAGCCAACTATATTAGCTTGACTGAAATTGTTGGTAGCTTTCAAGAGCTCAAATATGGTCAGGTCTTTGACATCATGTCTACTGTCTCCAAACAGCAGCACGGGGCTTATGTCTTTCTCTGAACCTCGAGGAACTTCTGAATACGAGGCATTGGAACTTATCTCAAAGTTTCCTGAATTTACCCTCCTCTTAGACATCACCCACCGAACAATCATCACCAAAGTCAAACTTACGCCAAAAAGGTACCCAGTGACAAGCCCCCAAACAAACATTCTGTCGACATTTTCTTCAATCATCTTTTTCGTAGATGTCTGAGTTGGAGCGGTGCAAGCGGTTAGAAGCACACGACCGCACAACAATGGGTTTCCTTCAAAGTATGCTTTTGGGAAAGTATCAAACTGAGCCCCTGTGGGTATCTGCCCACTGAGAGTGTTGTTGGCAACATTGAAATATGTCATGAAATGGAGTCTTGTGAGCGACCAAGGGATTCTACCAGATAAACTGTTGTTGGACAGGTCCACCCTCTCTAAGTTTGTGAGCTTGGACAATTCATCTGGGATGCTGCCAGAAAAATTATTAGCTTGAAGCTCGAGAATTATGAGAACCTTTAGCTGCCCAATCTCAACCGGTATAGTCCCGCTCAGTTTATTTTTGTTGATGTATATTGCAGGTGGGAGGCTGGAAATCTGATTGTATTGCTGATTGATAGTGACATTACTAGGATTGACAAAAATAGGCAGCTCTAGATAGGTTCGCTCTGTTTCGTCGTAAACCTTTCGAGACATGAGAGCACTCAGCTGAAACAGTTTCTTTGGAAGCTCTCCTGTAAGAAGGTTATCAGAAAGATCCAAGTAAAAAAGGTTTGGCAGAGTTCCTAGCCAGCCGGGAATCGACCCCACGAGTCGGTTTTGTGACATGTCCATAAGTTCTAGGCTCTTGAGCTTGACGAGCCAAGCTGGTATTTCACCTTTCAATCTGGATCCACCGGAACCAAATATTTGGAGATTTGGAAATGCGTCTGACGCAAGAAAGTCCTCGTTGCTTGGTATTGTTTCATCATAAAAATTCCTTGCAATGATGAGAGTAGACAGCTTCTTGCAGCCTTGCAGAATACTGACAGCACCTGTAATGTTTGTCATTTTATTGTCTGACAATGTAAGGAAAGACAGGGACTCCAGTTCCACTACTTTTGGAGATATCTGTCCCGTGAACTTGTTGCCTGAAAACCTCATTGCTGTCAGATTTTTGCAGGAGTAAACCGTCGAGGGGAAATCTCCGGTGAAGTTATTGTTTCCCAGGTCAAGAATGCTGAGGCTCTGAAGCCGGGAAAAGTCTAGCTCCGATAAGGTTCCTCCTAGCCGATTAACCCGGAGATTCAACCTCTCAAGATGTGTGCAGTTGGCTAGAGAAACAGGTACAGAGCCAGTGAGGGTGTTGATATGGAGCTGGAGTCTGCGCAGATTGAAAAGCTTACCTATATCCATTGGTATTTCTCCTTCAAGATTATTGAAGTAAAGCTCAAGAAACCTCAGTTTCGTGAGACGCGCAATCCCATCATCAATCTTCCCGGAAAGACGATTGCCTGGTAAGATAAGTTCCTCTAGGTCTGAGAGATTGTTGATTTCTTTTGGGATTTCACCAGATAGATTGTTGAAACCTGCTCGAAGAACACTTAGTTTCAAACATATGCCGAGTCCTTGAGAGATAACTCCTGTGAATTTGTTATAAGAGAAATCTAATTTGGTGAGCTGCGGTGACGTTGTGCAGATGAAGGAAGGGATTGGACCGGTGAAGCTATTATTGCTGACATTGAAACTGGTTAAATTGAAGGCACCTTGTAGGAAAACAGAACCGTCTAAGATGTCGCCTTGAAGAAGATTGCTGGAGAGATCAATGGTCTGAATCGGGAAGTTTCGGTTGCTTCCATTGCCAGATGATTGTTCAAATGGCAATTTACCATCAAAACTGTTGTAACTAAGATCAAGAACGGTGAGCTGATCAAGAGCAGAGAACAAGCCTTGTGGGAGAGGACCAAAGAGATGGTTATGAGAAAGGTCTAGACGAGAGAGAAGACGGAGATTTAAAACAGACGAGGGGAGAGTGCCGGAGAGTCCTCTAGAGGGCAAGAGAATCGAAGTAACTCGATTTTCGGGAGTATCATCGCAGGAGATTCCTTCCCATGAGCAACAATCTATGGAAGAGTTCCAATGCAAAGGAGAGACTGTAGATGATACGTTGCTAGAGAACAAAAGGAGAGAATCTCGATCTTGGAAGTTACATATAGCTTCTGAAACTGTAGGAAAGAAGACAGCGAGAGAAAGAACATGAATATGGAGGAAGAGAACCGTTGGTGCTGGTCTTACAAGGAGTTTAGATCTCATCTTCTCGTCAACCATGGCGAGAACAAGAGAATATGAGCTAAGAAAGATTGCGCAAGCTTAAAGAAGAAGGAGAGGATAAAAGAGAGCAGAATAGATCATTATCAATATCTGGTTTTCTGTGTCCGGAACTTGTAAATGGCTCTCAATAGTCAATAGTCAATAGTCAATAGTCAATACCATCGTCAGACCAAACAGCAGAAAACTTCTTGTTGCACCCAACATTATTTTTTTCGTTTTAACATCAAAAACTATTTAATTACTTGATCATGAATCGTTATGTGATGGCAAACCAAAATTAAAAAAAAAAAAGTTAATTTTTTTGGTCAAAATAAAAAAATTAACAAAAATTCATACAAAAAGTAATATTCCTATCAGTCGGAATCCTTAAAGGACATCCTTAAAAAAAAATTAAATAATCAATGAATTCATAAAAAGTTAAAGATTCGATCTTTAAAATCTTTAAATAAAAACGGTTTCTTAACGAATCCTCACATTCTTTACGGGTCTCCACGACACGTGACGACCTGCAATTGATTTTATAATTTTTTTTAATCTGAAGAAAAAGAATAAAAAATAAAAAAACAGTTTTTTAAAGAATCCAACGGATAACACCATTGGAAATGCTCTTATAGCCTTATACGACAGTTCTGCTTCCTCATAGTATCATTCCTAACTGTAATATCATCTCTTTTTGCTCAAAAAATCTTGTAACGTCTACGGTTAATGATTCATCCCATTCCAATGGTCAGTGTGTTAACTTTTCCAAGACTCGCAATCATTGTTTACAGATTTTGTAATCACTACATGACATTTTTCCGTGTTTTAGTCTCATTTACACGGTATCATAAATCACTTTTTGATAGGTCACTCATCCTTTCACTATTCCGGTCCAAGGACGCTTAATTCTAAAGTTCTAAACGAAAAGGTAAGTCAATTTTGATAACGTTACAACTCGTGATTTTACAAATCTATTCTTGAATTGGTTGTACGAAGCACATAAGAAAGGTCGTTTGACAAATTCCTCTATTTTTCTTCTTAAAAGTATAATGTCATTGTTTCACATTTTTTAAAAGAAATAATTTTGTAAGAACATTTTAATTCGACGATTTGGACATTGTTTTAGCGTTTCAAAGCCAGTCCAACAAGTTTGTGACAATGCTGCTAATGCTTTGTCTCAAAGCTCTAGTTCCAATTCTTCTCGGGATTTCCCCGCCAATGTCTTAGTATGGGGTCGTGAAGATCAGGTTAGTACAGGAAACACCAATGCTGCTTCAGAGTCAAGATGATGTTGTTCTGGATATCTATGATTCTACAACCAGAAGTCAAAATGTACCGTCTTCATCATCATCAGTGAGGTTTATTATTGAACAGAAAGAAAAATCTCCAATGACAGCGAGGCTGAGGTCTTTGAGGAGGTTCCTGAGCAGAGACAAGCGAGTCTCTTGTAGCAATAGTAGCACTAGTAGTAGCTCAAACGCTGCTGCTTCTTCTGTTGGTCCTTGAAGATTGTGTGATTAGAGTAGCTGAGTAAAATGATTGCCTGAAGATGTCAAACTGTGTATGTGATCTCGGCTCGTATTGGCTTATTGTGAGAGCTTTCGTTGTTATCCAAGTAATATCATCTTATATGTTCCAAATAAGATTTTGTCTACTCAGGTCAACAAAAGAGTCCTGTATTGCTTTCTAACTATATTCTATTAGACATCAAGTCATTGCAGGAAGCTCCACGACACTGACAAAAAAAATTGTAACGGTAAAACCATATGATCTTAATCTGAACTAGAAATGAACTGAGCAGTTATGTAACAAGAAGCAAGAAATACAGTGATGTTACTATTATAAAAGAACCAGTGGGTGATTATTATTATAAAGACATGAGCTGTTAACCTGCAAAATTTCTTCTCTTGAAGTTGGACTTGACTCATACTATTAGAAACATCATCAGTAACCACATGGTGTATCACATGATCCTCATCTCAGTCACATATATCTTTAGCGCTAATACGTGTAAATGAATGTGTATTCATATATTGACTAAAAAGATGTGTAAACGTGAGGACTAATCATGGTCTAGAAATCATAAATATCCTCACCATCTGAAAAACAATTCGGGAAAAATAAGACAATTGGCACAGCAGTCAAACTAGATCACGTGATTAGATCCCAAAAGGTAATTTAGAACCATTATATAATCTATATGACAACAAGAGTTTCAGTCTCTCTTCCTTTTTGTAACTCAAAAGTTCAAAAAAGCTTGCTACCCAAAAAAAATTCTCAGTTTCATTCTTAGGAACAGAAGAACCTAGCAGTTACAAGAGAAGAACATATCAAAAAAGAGAATTCACAATGAAGAGATTCCATACATCGATTTCAGCAGGATTGATTTTGTTACTTCTAGCTTTGTTTAGCAGCAAGAAGACTGTAGAGGGTCGTCAGATGGCGGCAACTTCCACGGACTTGGCTTCTAGTGAAGCTATGGGAGAGTTGCAGATAAACAAGGAGATGAAAGAGGAGTCTCTAAGAGGTGAAAAAGATAGCTTCCAAAGAATTCCAAGGAGTGGCTCAAGCCCTATACAGAACAGGTGAAAGACAAAACACACACATCAATCTCCAATCTTTACTAATCTTCAATGCGTTTTATATATATCCCTCTACAAGTGTTTATCATTGACACAAACGTTCTGTATTTTTGTACCAGGAACGGTCCAGTAACACATGTAGGGGGAAGTAGAAAAAAGCAGATCACAGCAAGAGAACCATAGTAATTTTTTTTTTTTTGATAATTTTTTGTTTGTAACATAGAGTATTTACACTTATTACTGGGTTCTGTAATGTAAGTGGAGCATAAGAAAATATCTTATAAGTTTATACTCTTAAGTTTTAACAGTTTCTAGAATAGGCAAGAGCATCATCAATGGGGGGTGCTTAAGGGAGTGATTAGTGCTTTTTGATAGTAGGTCCTGCAAGCACCTCTTCCAAAAGTGCTTAATCAAGCACCCCAAATGGTGAATTACTTGTACTGTTTGTGGGTCCTACTGATACGTGACTATGTGATTGGTTTGAGTTTTTTTTTTTTTTAAATACAAAAAAAAAAAAAATAGAGAAAATAAGCACCCCATATGGGCTGCTAGGGTCGAGGATGCTCTCTACAAGTTCGTTTGGAATGTATACGAAAAAACTACTGTATTAGCATTCTTGCAAGGTAGATCGAAGCCAAAAAGGCTTCCACTATGCTCTCATCTTCATTAAAAGTAGTGTAGCAGTAGCATAGCACAGAAAAGAAAAATGCAGCTTGACAATATACAACAGAGTAAGTAGTTTACCTTCATATTCTCAATTTATTTGAGTGCCGATTCTTTCTAGTCATCTCACCAGAAAGGAAAGGTCTTTTCTTGGTAACTGATTTATCTGTTTCTTCACACTAGTATTGTTCTTCCTCTGTTTCGTTCTTTTCACCCACAAAAGGTTCGTCCGTATCCCTAAAATGTGCTCTGTGGAGCTTAACCCGGAAAGTAAGACGATGGTCAATCTCCATCATTGTGTTTTTTAGTTCTGATTCCTGAGATGCATCCTCATACGGGTCAGAAGCAAAGGAGTTCTTTGGAAAATTTTGATTTGCTGGATCCGAATGCAGAACAAAATTCGTTATATGTTGATTGCTTAGCTTCTAGTCTTGATTTCCACTGATCAGGTCTGCTGACTGCTGGCATATCTGCAACAAAGAAACTATTCATGCATGTATCCACAGTAGAGATCTGCCACAAAAAATCTTCTTGACTTTAATCAAACAAAGCAAAGTAAGTTGTGAGAATAAGATCTTTACCCATAGATATCTAGTTACCTAAGTAGAAATGGCCCTTGCTTTGTTTTTGAAAGATCAGCTTTCACATCCAAAAACTCAGTTGCTATAGCTTCCCTTAGTGTCAAGTCACATGCATCAAAGCACTTCTCAACAGTAAATGAGCCCAAAGAAGTAGCCAAGAGACTAAATGAAGAAAAGACACAGAAGCAAAAACAAAATAATGCTCTATGCTTTGGGTATTGTAATCATAAAGAGAAAGCTACAGCAATATCTGCTGCCGTTCTCAAATAACATAAAGAAGCAATGTTTACTTTATAATTAGTCTGCGCTTCTGTTTTTTTTAGCAGCAGTTGAGGCAAGAAAAGCCTCGATGGCAGGTGCTCCGCTGGAATCTTTTGCTGTTTCAATTGTATGCTCAGCCTTCATAGAAGTGTAATCTTTGTTGTTACCAATGAAATAGTTAGTGTTAAAAAAGGGTATAACGACATGACATGTTAATCAGTGATGGCTTAATCATGAGAGGATACGTGTAAATGAATGCTTTGCATGTGTGTATGTGAGGACTAATCTGAAGTCATTAAAATATCCTCACCATCTGAAACACAAGTGTAGAAAAATAAACATTATTGGCAAACCAGTCAAACTAGACCACGTGATTAGATCCCAAAAGTCTCTTACAACAATAATATAATCTACAAAACAACAAGAATTTCAATCTCTCTTTCTTTTTAACTAAAACATAGTTTGCTACCCAAAAGTTTCCTCAGCTGCAGCCTCAGGAACATAACAACCTAAAAGCTCTAAGATAAAGAAAAAACAGATCAGAAGAAGTATTCACAATGAAGATGTACCATACATGGGTACCAACATCAACAGCTCTGATTCTGCTACTTCTAGCTTTGTGTAGCAGCACGAATAATGTAGAGGATCATCAGATGGCGCCAGCTTCCATGGATATAGATTCTAGTAAAGCTGTGAGCTATTTTCAGATAAACAAGGAGACAAAGGAAGAGACTCCAAGAGGTGAAAAAGATAGCTTCAAGAAGATCCCAAGGAGTGGCTCCAGCCCTATAAACAACAAGTAAAGTCAAAACCACACCAATCAGTTTTCAATATTTATACATCTCAAATAGTTGTCACGTATCTCTTTGTGGCTGTGTATGATTGACACCAAGACTGTATTATTGAACCAGGAACGGTCCCTTGAAAGAAGTAAGAGGAAGTAGGAAAGAACAAAGTATCACAGGAAGAGAACCATAGATCCATTTTTTTCTCTTCGATCCTCCTTTTGTGTGTGTGTGAGCATGTATAACAGCGAATCTAAACTTGTTTCTAAAAGCTGTAATGTAACTGAAGCATACGAAACCATCTTATAAGTTTGATACTATTACAATACCTAGAGTGGTATTGAAAGAAATTAACACTAGATCATAAATCATAATATACAAATAATTCAGTTTCAAAATATTGAGATTTTGAAATTTTATTAATTTATAGAGATATTAATTTACGAAAGTTTCCTTATTAAGATTTTTTTTTCTATTTTTATTTATAAAATAAAAAATATTTGATTTTAGCATATGTACATTATTTAAATTTTAGAAATTTGACTTTTATATTGTTTTATTATCTTATTTGGTGTATATTTTTATATTTTATAGAATTGTTACAAGGTTTTCGATGTAATTTAACTAAATATTATCTAAATATATTGAAATGTTTAAAAAATAAAAGATTTTTTCGAGTAAATATAAATCCCCTAACTAAATATTATCAAAATATACTGAAATGTTTAAAAAAATAAGAGTATTTTTATAGTAAATATAAAACCAACAATATAATGTTAGATTTATTTATATAAAATTATATATAGCTAGATTATTAGTTTATGATTTTAGTAGGACCATATATTTATATGGCAGATTTAAAAATATTATTATCTTATTATTTTATCGATTTGTGTCATATTTTATACCGGTCCAAGTTGGAACCGGTGAAATTTATTAATTTATAGAGATTATTAATTTATCGAGTATTAATTTATAGAGATTCTACTGTAATTGTAATCACTTCTGTTTTTTTTTTTTTTGTAATCATATCGACATCAACCTGCACTAAAAGAGTGTACTTCAAAAATGCAAAATGTTTAATCATACTTTTACAAACTAACAATCTAACAACATACGATTGTCATATGAATACTAATTATAATAATATTTTTTTTGTTCAAACTAAACATAAAGCCTGGTGATGACTCTTCTGGCTCATACTATCATACATGGTACAAAGAGATGGTATTCTCTTATCAATGGCTAAACGTGCAAAAGTTAGTCAAGAGATTATATTAACCCTAGGAAGACAATGTTTTCAGTCACCTGTATAAATGTTCATTAGCTTGATAATGAATGTGCAGAGTATTGAAGAGCCTCTTAACAACTTGGAAGGTGTAACATGTAACAGAGCTGAAGGAGCCATGTATCTCTTTCCTCCGAATAATCTTCGTAGAAAGGCTATTGAATCTGTACAGGCGGTAAAGACAGAAACGGATGCCTTCTACTGCAAGAGACTTCTTAATGCCACTGGTGTAGTTGTTGTCCCTGGTTCTGGCTTCGGACAGGTAAAAAAAGAAACAAATATTTCTTTAAAATGGAAAACATTGAATGTTTTCAGAAGTATGAGTCTGTGTGTGTTAGGTTCCTAGAACATGGCACTTCAGATGCACAATCCTTCTGAAAGAAGATAAGATTCAACCATAGGAATTGTCTTACAGAGTTCCACAAGAGCTTCATGGACGAGTTTCGTGAAGACGAAGAAAGCTCTTTGAACCCCTGAAGATAAGCTCAACGACCTCTAGAGAGACTTTTAAAATGTGATCAATCTCCTCTGACCAGCTTGATTAACACAAATTTAAGCAGAGTCCATGTTTGTTCTCTCATCTCATCTGGCTAAATCTGAACTGAACTTTATTTATAAACTAATTTAACTTTGACAAGTCTCTCCCATAAGTGGTCAAAAGTTTTGAAAAGAATCATTGGCATTCTTTGATCACACTTCAAAAATCATTTTTATATTTTCTAATTAATCGTATGTGTGTCATAATTTCATATAACCTCTATAACTCTGACAACTTTATATGAAATTAGACTCCATATTGATGTAATATATTTTTTTAATATTATTAAACCAAATTGTTAATATAAACCACAAGTAAAAAACATAATTAATTGTATAAAAACACATTTGATACAAATGGTCAGACAAATATAGTAATAAAAATGATATGATTTGATATCTTATATATTAAAACAGAAGTCATGACTTGACTTCATGTGTGATTTTTTTAAAATGGACTATTACTAGAAAGTTATGTTACATTAACTTTCTAATAATCTTATTATTATTATATCTTATGAAAAATCATATCTATAAACAAAGATACGCTTAACAATTTAGTTTTGGTAAATTACCCCACACCTTTTTTTTTTTTTTTGGTAAAAATTACCCTACACCTTCCAACTTAGTCAAGCAAAATATGTCAATAGATATAAGTTTAGGAATCTTCTATTATTTATATGGAAATATGTCAATAATAGTTAAATGCATCCACAATATATTAACAAAAATCACAGATTCGTAATATGAAATATTTATATATCCTAACAAAATTTACACACTATATAGACTAGAAAAAAATATTTCGATGTAAATTTTTAAAATTATATTGTTTACAAAAAAAAATAATTTGTTTAAAAAATTCTTTTTTAAATAAAATTCTTTATAATATTAATTTATAAAGCTATAAGTTTAGTTTTAAGCAAAAATTTCTTCGAAGTTTATATTATCTTTGCAAATTAAAGTATACTAATATTTAATTAAGCTCTATTTATATTACTTTATCTAAAAATGAAATACTAATATAACAAACAATAAAATATAGAAGAAGAAACAAAAACATGTTTGAAAACACATGTATAATATAGAAAATTTGAAACAATCTATTTGATTAAAACACGTATTATATAATATTATTATGTTTGAAAAACGTTTACTATACATATCGTAAATATGTGATTACTATAATATATACTAATTTACAAGTGAAAACAAAATATTTATATAACTAACTATAAACGAAAACAAACATCCGCGCGGTCGCGCGGGTCAAAATCTAGTTCTTCTAATTAAGATTATACTATTTTAGAAGATAATGAAAAAAATAATCATTTGCACTCTTCATTGCCTATGGTTTTGAGACAGAAACTGGATCACCGCAAAGCTTTAATATCCAACGTTACCTGCTTGACCTTGAGCCATTAGATTTGGAAACGCCTGAGCATTCAGTGTGACCGTTGGATCACCACCCATCTCGCAGATCCTTGTCCACAGATTGTCCCTTAAACCACTCAGCCCCTTCACGTACTCTTCCATCTCTTCCTCCGGCACGGTTTCCACAGCCCTCTCCCACCACATCCTACCATCTCCGTCCACTCCTTCGGTTGCCACATCACCCCCGTAATGAGACCTTAGCATCACTGGAGTCTTACGTACGCAAGTAACTTTGGATGAGTGTGTCCACGTTACCAAACGCGTAGATCCTTTGACAACGTGAAAACGTTATGATACCAATCTGTGCACCGCAGAGAACGCTTAGTTCGGCCGCTTTTTTGAAAAGTCCCGTTCGGCGTTTTGAAAACGTCACTTGCCTTCGGTTCTCTTCTTTGATCTCCTTAATCTCTATCTTCTGTCGACCTTTACAGGCTTTAGGGTTTTGTAGTTTCCTCTCTTTTTGTTGCTTTACCACCAAGTTAGGTTTTTGCATAGGCTTTTGTTCCTTGATACGCAAGCAAGTGGTTGATAAGGCTTCCCGTTCTCCATAATGAAATACATAAGTGTTCTTTGAGAAACAGCATTACGTTTGATGTTTATATATATTGTTCTTACGCAAATGAGTGATGCTTCTTCATCATTAACGTTAATTTGTGGTATTAAATGCATGATTCCAGAAATACCGCGCGATGTTAGTTTTTTTCTTAATCCAAGTTTCGTGATTGTTTCCTGATTTACGAGATATACTTGCCACATTCTATTCTACTTGGTTAAAAAACTAGTTAATGTCAATGCTATATTTGATTAGTTATAGTATTTGATTGATTATATGGAAGGTTCAACCACAAGTATCAATTAGTTCCGTTTTAATCAATTTCCCCCACTTAGTATCTCAATTAGTATTTAATACACCCATTTATACAACTGGTACAAATATTAATAATTTTGTTGTAAAGATTCAAAGCAAGGTTGATACTTGATAGACTAATTTAGATTTGAAAAATGATTAGTGGAGAAAACCATGGGTCAATTAGTCAGTTTTAGAGACTACTTCTGGTTTCCAAAATTAAATGTCATAGCTAACAACTGCATATACCCCTATATAGCTTAGGTTAACAACTGGTATTACACTAGTAACTGGTTACTTTTTATGTTACATTACATATATACCAAGTTGTAATTAACAATGTCATTTGTTTTATCAAAGTTATTCCACATTGAATAAAAGTCCAAAACCCTTGTCGACCTTTTTTACCAACCATGTCAACCTCTTGAGAGGTGAATAAGCAAAGCACACCAAACCAATGTTATGTCTTAGATTAACGAGAAAAAAATGTCTCAGAATTATAAAATGTAAATTTTACGTTAAAGGACTACATTTTCGGTTGCAAATATTTTGTTACCTTCGAGTACAATAGGAATCTTAGAAAAAAATAATCGACAATATAAAAAAGGACAATTCTCACATTTTTAAGTTTTTATCATAAAAATAGATTTAAAAACTAAAATGAAAAAATATCATTTTTTATTTTGAAAATTTTAATTTTTTTTAATTTTTTAAAAATTTGAAATCATATCCTCAAAACTTCATTCATCAACTCTAGATAAAAAATTGTAAGATTGGTTAATCCAAAGGATATAATTATATATTTACTTATTTTTGATAAAACATTTAAATTTATTTTGATCATTTTTATTTTTAAAATCTATATTTGTGACAAAAAAAAAATTTAGGTCTATCGATCCTAGAGAATTTTTCTATAAAAAATGTTATACAAAAAACAGAAAACTCGTAGAAATCAATTTTATAAAGATTTAATCATTGATAGGATCATATACTGTATATGCTTGGCCACAATATTAGGCCAAATTCATTCCAAATTTAAAAAATCAAGAATTACATTATGCATTAAATTGGATAGATAGAAATCACCGTCATTAAACCCAAATATATCGTGATGGAAAGTAGCTCAACTATACGATTCATTAAAGTAAGCTATAGTGATTAAAGATAAGATCGAGTATTAAAATTTTAATAACCCGATTCATTTCATCTAAATGCAGATCATTATTAGATTGACAGTGGCCAACTTGTAAATATTCTAAAATTTACAACGGACACAAGGACAAAACATAAATTTGGTAAATGTCCACTTGGCCCAATTGTGTCGTCCTAGACGCGCTCATCTCGCATATAAAAAGAGTATGCAACGTACCGAAAATGTAATAACATCGTAAAACCACCTTTAAGAAATTCCACTTCAAACTCAAAACCTTTGTTCAAATGTGCGGAGGAGCAGTTATTTCCGATTACATAGCGCCGCCGAGATCCGGCAGATCGACACCCTACAAGTCTCCTTGGAGACACGACGACGTCGTTGACTTAACACTCGACGATTTCGACGTAGATTTTGATGATTTCGAGCTGGAGAACGAATTCTCAACGACCAAGCAGCCGTTATTCTCCACCACAAGCAAAACTCCCGCTTTTGACGTGAGGAAGAAGAAGAAGAATAAGAGTAGTGAGTACAGAGGAATCAGGAGAAGGCCATGGGGAAGATGGGCGGCTGAGATTCGGGACCCAATCAAAGGAGTTAGAGTTTGGCTCGGGACGTTCAACACTGCGGAAGATGCCGCAAGAGCTTATGACCTTGAAGCTAAGAGAATACGTGGAGTTAAAGCTAAGCTCAACTTCCCTAACGAATCATCTTCAAGAAAGCGTAAAGCCTCTTCTTCTTCTTCACCACAGCCTCATGGTGTTAAGATAAAAGAGAAGCATGAGGTTGCAGTGGCTAGCTCTGTCCTGTGGGAGGGGGATACTATTCAGGTTGATACACAGTGGCTTGAGGATGTCATCATTGGAGATGTGAAGGAGAAGAAGAAGAAACAGGAAGGTTGTGATGGTGAAGCTAACGTGAATGCTTTGCTTTCGGAAGAGCTTCTTGCTTTTGAGAAAGAGACGGATTGTTTCTTTCAGATGCCGTTTATGGATGGCGGAGACTGTGGTTCATCGACATCTCTGAGTAGTCTCTTTGATGGAGACAATGTCATGGATCTTTGGTCTTGAATGGTTATTGTTGTGTTAATGTTATGAGTCTTTGGTGTTCTAATTTTGTGTAAATGTTCTCTGCTTGTGTGTAACCGAGTGTATTATACACTGTTGTTCTTCTCCCTTGTCACAATATAAAATAGCTTTGAAGTTTCGGCTTCTCAACATCGACCATCGACTGTAGCCATTGCACAACATATGATCTAAATTTGTAACCTCGATTAGGGCAGAGGGAACAACATTATTCTTCTGGTGCTAGTTTGTTGTCCAAGATTCCATATGCTCAGAGAGCTTCGAAGTCTCTCTCTTCCACGGCTGATCCAGAGGAAAGGAAAACCAACCCTGTAAACTCTACGTCTACCATCACACCATTGGAGGACATGGAACTACTATAATAACACTTGTAATAGATTTGAGAATGAACACTGAAACAGACAGTGGGTGAATGAGCTAGCATGATAAGCTATTAGATATACACCTTCATTTTGGGACTAGTTTACAATGGTTGCAGACTCGGTTCAGCAACCAGATTTGGTATCCCCGTCTGCAAAATGTCTCTACAGAGTTAAATTCCTGACCAGATACTTCTCCATCTTCGCCTTGAGGCATTCAGGAGCTAGTTTTGATGAAACAGAACTGTCTTAGCTTTGCTATTCGTTTTACATTTTTTGTGGAATTCATAAGTTACAGTTGATCAGAATTATTGTAAAGAACCAGAAGCTTTTATAACAAAACGTACGAGATAAATATAGTAAAAATTCCATTCAAAGCAAAAATTGCAAAACAGAATAACCCTAAATGTATTGTCTAAAGAGAGGATTGAAGAGACACAGTTGTGGTTTGATAACTCTTCAATTCCAAACAGCAACCAAAAAACACATTTGTCTATGACCATTGTAAAGGGCATCAACTTTACTCCCAATTGCCAGCTGGAGCTGCTGTGGGTGGCACAGCCGGGTCCCAACCACCTTCTGCTGCTGGAGCAACTGAAGAAACAAAAACAAAGAAACCAAGATTGTAGATTCAGAGATTATCCGGAGAGAAAAATAAGAGTTATTATATGATGGATATATATTTGTTGAAAACTCACCGCTGGAATCATTCCAAGAACCAGCAGCAGCAGGAGCAGCAGAGATTGGCGCCTGGGCTTCTCCTGGCCATGCAGCATCAGGGATGGCAGCAGTGGACCAGTCTCCACCTCCATACTCAGCAGCAGGTAGTCCATACTCTGCCTGAGGTGCAACTTCATCCTCATCCTCTGCCTTAGCCTCCTCTGGCTCCCTGTAGAAGAACAGGTCCACCTGTACAGGAACACAAGTCAAAAATAGTCAGGACCATAAGAGAGGCTTTTCTTGAAGGAAAATAGTTTCAAAAATGATGTTCCTCCTCTTACCATGACATCCCACTTCTGAGCAGGGCGAATGGTTCCACGCATCTGAAGGACCATACGAGCAAGAAGCCAGAAAAGACATCCAATGCTGTGCTTTCCCTTGTTGTTGGCAGGGATACCAATGTCAACAAACCTCATGGGTGAGTCAGTGTCACAGAAAGCAATGATTGGGATGTTTCCCAAAGCACCTTCCTTGATGGGCTGCAACACACACAAGAATCCAAGTTAAGACAACATAAGACCATCAATTATTCTAGATAAAAAGACTATTGCCGTACAAATTTTGACGGTTACCTGGTGGTCAGTACGTGGATCAGTAAGAATCAACAACCTTGGCTCACTGAATGAGGTTTGCATCTGATTAGTGAAGGTACCAGGAGTGTGTCTTCCAGCAATGGCATTGGCTCCAGTGTACTGAGCAAACTTCAAGACAGCTCTCTGACCATAAGGTCTAGCAGACTGCACAATGATGTCTTGTGGGTTCTCAATAGCAACGATAACTCGTGCAGCCATCATCAACTTCTCCCATGTTTTCCCAAGGTTAAAGATGTAGATACCTGAGAAGTAAAAACAAAAACTTCAAAATGAAAGATGACTATAAAAATCAAAGACTTCAAGAATACGTTTAAAACAAATGTAGGAACATTACTCAACAAGATTAGCAAAAAAAAAAAAATACTTGCAACCCATACAGACAAGAGCTAAAGTGTTAACAATCTTAGACCCAATGTAATGAAATGAAACATATGTTCTACTCACTCCTTCATATACCAATCTGAGTAAACAAGAACATACACAAAAACCAATACTTTTGTTGGTATCTACACTTATTAATACACGAAATGATGACAGGCATTGCTACTAGTAGAGGGTTGATGTAATAATTTAGTATGCAGCTGTTTTAGAACCGTGGCGGCGATGACACATACAGACAAAACAGCCATATCAACATAGAATCTCAATGCTCAAAATCATCGATTATATAAGTGAACATTTAAAAAGAAGAGAAGAGTTACCGTCGTTGCGTCTCTTGAAAACGTAACGCTCCATTTGGTAGTTGCAGTTCTTGGTTCCGAGGTGAACCTCAGCAGCACACATCATTTTGATGTCAGCTTCCATCTGGGATTCGTGAGTCGCCATATTGTTTTCGCTCTTCTTCTTCGGTCCGGGACCTAATCGCCGAGGTCAAGCTTTTCGCAGTGTAAATCACAGACAGAGAGAGGCGAGGAGACTATAGGAGCCGCGAGGGAGATAAGTTTATATATGAAGCAAAACCCTAGTTTGTGTAAAAGTCAATTTTATCCTCTGTCGTGGAGATTCGGTTCATTAGGTTAAAATTCGGTTTGAGTTAGTTTGCTTTTGTTCGGTTCGTTTAAATTGTGCAAAATGTTCGGTTAATTCGTTTTTTTTTTTTAAGTTTTAATTCAAGCTTTTGGGGTTTGTGTTAAATACTGATTTAATTTAGTTACTTTTTAATAATTTTGATTAAATTCAAATTAATTAATTGTTTTATATTATTTTTGGTTTAATCTTTTTATTTGTTCAATTCAAATTTGGTTGATAGTTTTTTTAATTCAAACTAACTATGGTATAAGTCAAACCGTATACCAAAAATATCAAGTATTCAGTTTGTGTTCATCCCTAGCCCTTGGAAATGAATCCAATAACTCCATGAACACAAGCCAGCAGGAGGCTTGTCTAGTGAACCTATAACTAAGTTCTCAGACATATGGATCTGGTGGTAGCATTACCAATTTCCAATGGAGCTTCAAGGTCCAAAGAACAACTCAGCTGGTAATAGTAATCCCTAATCAAGAATGCTAATGATTAGGGAAGTATAGCGTTCCTTCTAGACATGAATTGTAATAATACTAACTTAGGGACTGAGAAGCATAGGAAGTTTCATAGTTTACAGTTTTTTAAAAAGGTTTGCGTTGTGCACTAGTTAAGCTTTGAAGTTAAAATAAGATTTATGATATGTAAATGTTGGGAAATTAATGAATCCATTGTGCTTTGTAAGTCAAAGTGCGGGAAAATGGACATTTAATTCCTCAAGTATTTGAAATCGGCAGTTTTAATACTCAAGTATTGCTCACGCATAATTATTTCCCAACTAATAGTTGATTGCACGAAATTAGGAACGAAATAATCAACCATTAACTGGTTAATGGAAATATAACGGTTGCCGTCAACTTTTAAACGGTTGACTATTTTGTTCATAATTTCACACAGTCAACTATTAGTTGGGGAATAATTATGCGCAAGAAATACTTGAGTATTTAATTTGCCGATTGAAAATACTTGAGGAATTTAAAACATCAATACTTTTTTAAAATATATATATAATTTATTAAAATAACTAAATTAAAGGAAGACAATTAATCCAAATTGAAACTGATCCAAACCAAACTAATCGTGGTTTATTTCAGATGGAAAATTTTGAGAACCGTATTAATCAAACCGAACTGAACCGAAAAATAACCGAAGTTTCCACCCCTACTTTAAAAAATCATATGTAGTTACCTCTACTTTAGAATATCATATATTGTACATCATCAATGCAATGCAATGCGTTATCTTATTTTCTTTTGTAAAATCCCAAAATTCATTTCCGGAAAAAAATATCTTGTATATTTGTTCCATTGTACATTTTTTAAAAACCATCTTAAGTTATTAACATGAAATACATCAACAATAAACTGCAACTATAATTATTTTTATTATTATACATGTCATTGTAAAAGCTCAAAAATATTTTTTAAAAAGTAAAAATATTGTATATTGATTGTATCTTACTTGAATTTTTTAAAATTCTATATATTTTTAAAAAATATTGATGTTTTAAATTCCTCAAGTATTTTCAATCGGCAAATTAAATACTCAAGTATTATTTACGCAGAATTATTCCTCAACTAATAGTTGACTGTGTGAAATTAGGAATGAAATTGTCAGCCGTTAAAAAGTTGACGGAAACCGTTATCTTTTTGTTAACTAGTTAACGGTTGACTATTTCGTTCTTAATTTCGCGCAGTCAACTATTAGTTGAGGAATAATTCTGCGCTAGCAGTATTTGAGTATTAAAACTGCCGATTTCAAATAATTGGGGAATTAAATGTGCATTTTCCCGTAAAAGTGCATGTTATTATAAGGTTGTTGATATGTATGCTAGGCTATGTTGATATTGTCAAAGTTAACCTGTAAAACTATTTTGAATTTCCTTTTGTTATTCTTGTCCATATAGCTATCTATAGTTCAGATTCAAACGCACTTATGTTAAAGAATTATACAGAAGAAAAAAATTGTTGTATTTTTTTTGGTCAAACATGAGTTTGTTATGAAATGAAATTAAACATGAGTTTTCACAAGTTCAAAGAACAAAGTAATGAACCAGATTCAGTGTAAGAGGCCATACCAATTTACAACTTGGAAATAGAAAACTACATTTATGTATTTTATTTCATCAACTTGTAATTCTGTCTACCATTTAAAACTTGTATGTTTCTGTACATATATGAGAAAACAACTATTAAAATTTTGTACTTTCAAATTAAAGCCAATAAAATTTCCAACTCATATTTGAACCAAATAAATCTCCAACTTTCATATATTGACCGTTTTAATTCTTATATTTTGTTAACTAGACTATCTAAAAACGTAAATATTCAACTGTTAAACTCGATTGTAAAAATAGATGACTATTTACTTTTTAAACGATGTTTTTTAAAAAAAAAAGTTAAACGATGTAGTTTTGCTTCAGTAAATAATTAAAACTTTTTTTCACGAAATTAAAGTCCTAAATCGACTTCATCTTCCTCACTCAAAAATGAGGAAGATGAAGTTAATTTGGGATTCTGGTTCACGAAAAATATATTTTAAATGTTTTAAAAGGAAAATAACATTGTTGAACAACTTCGTTTAAAGAGTTAATATATGTCTATTTTTAATCAAATTTAACATTTAACTATTCAAATTTCTTAAGTGGTCAAATCAACAAAATATGAGAGTTAAAATTGTCGGTATTTGAAAGTTAAATATTTTTTTGACTCAAACATAAATTAGAGGTTTTATTGATTTTAATTTAAAAATTGATGGTATTAACGGTACTTTTCCGTACATATATACATTCTTTTGCTTTTTAAAAGAGAAAGGATAAGAGCATCCACACCAATGAACCCCCTCTTGGGGTTCATTGAATCATTTTTTATTATTAAAAATTTTATATTTGATTTTTGATATTTTTTTAAAAAAAAAACAAAAAAAAAATCTAGACCAATCCCGAGCCGCCACGTATTGAACCTCATGAGAGAGGGGTTCACCGGGGTGAACTTTAGAAGAGAGTGATTCATAGATTTTTGTTATTTTATTATTTTTTTTCTTGATTTCCGTGTGAACTCCCCCCATGAACCTTCAATGGGGGTACTTTAAGGGAGATAAGAGAAGACTCGCAATCGCAAGTCTAGTCCACTCTACGTTGGAAATGGCATTCAAATATTTGGCATTATTATAAGACTATCTATGATGGTTTGTAATTTTAACAATTTATTTAAAAAAATTTAACATTTAGTTTTTTATCATCAATCATTCACGTTCATTTTATTCGTATGTTATACAAGGGTTTTATTTAACAAAATTCAACACTTTATTCTATTATTTTTTATAATATATATAACTTGCAATTTAAAAAAACTGAATGTTCAAATTATTATTAAAAATGAGTTAGAAAATATTATAAAAAACTAGCTACAGCTCATTAAAAGTAATAAATTTATAATAAAATATGTTTTTTGTCCAAATCAAATGAAACAAAAAAAAATTTGTAGAGTAATTTAAAAAGAAAATAAAGGTAAAAGTGATTACTGTATAGAAATTAATCAAAACCAAGAAGAATGAAAAAGAAAATAGCAAAAGTAGCAATAGTCAAATAATATACCACCACATAACAATGACTATTTTCTCTTTTTATTATTCTGCCCATGAATTCAGCTCTGTTTTTTTTTTTTGATAAATGAATTCAGCTCTTGTTTCAACATTCTATTCAACTTCCTCAATGATAGACAATACCAAGCGTACTATTCAGCTGATACTGGATCCGCTGACAAGAGATCAGTGAAATGTTTCCAATGTGGTTTGCGTTCTTTTATCCACTTAACATATTTTTCGTTCGTATAAATTTTGGTGGTCAGTATAATTTAGGTACTAATAATTCATAAGGCTGAGTAATTAATCTGTAAACTTAATATATTCTTAAAAAATCATTATTACATATTTTAAAACCCTTCAATATATATATATATATATATGTATGTATATATTATATGGCTGAAAGTAAAGAAACAATAATTTTTTTAAAGAAAAACAAAAGTTAAGAAACATTAAAACAAATGTATAATATCTGCAAGTAGAAAAGAGAGTAGGGTCATGAACTTGGGACCAGGTTACCACCGCGTCATGAGAGCGACCATTGTTATTTCCAATTTTCCAATTAACCCACAAACATACGAAACAGAGGACATTGTCTCTTTTTTTGTTTGACAGAGGACCTTGTCTGTATGTGGGATTTCGACGGATTTATAAAAACGGGGTTGTAGTAACTAACACGCATAAAATGTATTTTAAATAAACATAGTGCAAAAACATAAGAAAAATGTTCAGTGAGATTATTTTTTTTTTACTTTTGAATGTTTTAGGTACGGTCTGGGATTATAATCAAACACCATGAATATCATATCAATTATATAAATCCTGCCTAGTAATATTTTTAGGAAAAAATAAAGTATATATAATTTAATTAACTAGGATGGTCATCATCATATTCAATCAATATTTGTTTCAAAAGACTGTGTTAGATCAAGCAATTTTAAACATCATTAAAGTCCTAATGTGTCATGAGACTCATGTGAAAGAATCCGTTACAAAAACAAATTGAAACAAAAGTTACAAAACTTACACAATAAAAAGTAGAAACAGAGGCAACCATAGATGAAATATCTCTGAAATGATCATATTCATTGACATTTAGAAGAAAATATTAAAGATGATTATTAAAGGAATATAATTCTTTGTTGATCGCAACAAAGTAAGAAGTTACATATGCTCATCATTATCATAAAATTGCTCGAGATAAAAAAAACAGAAGCAAATGATACCGGTTTACGAGAAATCACGGTTTGGTCACTCACCGGATCGAGTCAAAAATACAAATCATCAGCAGAAATAACAAATATAATACCAGAGACTCGAAAGTACATATTATACGAAGTAAATGTGTAAAAAGCGATAGGTCGATGTCAACAAGTATAGAACTCAGCCAATTCTTCAACGGATCCTCCTTCTTGACCACTCTTAAGCATCCACAACAAGTGCTCGAACAAAACAACTTCACAAGCTACAACAATCTCACGATCTTGTTCTGCGGATCTAGAAGACCGATCCACAAGTTCTTGGAAGAGTGGGTGAGAGATGATGTCCGGTCTAAGCATGTAAGGTCTTCGAGTCTGACCAACATAAACAACATGGAGATTGTTGTCATCTGAAACCTCATCGGAGACAGCGGAGGAGGAGGGTGTGTGGTGGTGGTTCTTGGCGAATGAAGGCCATTTCTTTATCGCCGACTTGAGCTTTGTCAGCTTCCCAACTTTGGCCATTGCTTTTGAAACTTTTTTCTTGGATTAGTTTGGAACAAGAGAGTTGTTGAAACTAGGTAGGGTTTAAGGTTTAAGAGGATATATGATTATATGAGTGTTTGTTGGTCAAAGACTCAGAAGTAGTGAATGAAGAATATAAATGTTTGAGATGTTCTTTGGAGTTAATAACGAGGAAGGTTCGTGTATATATATTGAGTGAGATAGAGAAAGGAGAGAAGAGAACGTATAGATGCATGACCCACCGATTAATGCATAACAGCTAAGAGAAAAGAGGACATAAATGGCAAAACTAGTAACTTATCTGCCCACTGTTTTTCCTTATAATCAGATTTTAATATTTATATAAGTAGATTTCCTGTATAATTTCAATTTACTAATAAAATTTAACAAAGTAATTGGTTATCTTCATGTATTATACTCTAGTTAAAAATAATGTATTAATAAGTTATATTGATAGAATGATAATATATATATAATCTTGTAACATAGGATTATATAACATGCACTTTTGTTAGTAAATTAAATATTCTAATAACTCAATAGCTTAATATATGAACCAAATGTATAAAACATATAAATTTTGAACCAGCAATACAAACAAATCACTAACAATAATTATTTGATACAATACATATCAATCTAGATCATTAACATGACAAAGCTTTTGCAATATATGTCTGTTACTTTCTTACTTATGACATTTTATTTCGTCTACATAGATGCCATTCTTTCACAAATCAGAATCTGAAAGTACTTGATAACACATATAGATTTTTATTAAATAAGTTTTATGTGCTGTATGTGTCTTATAAAGCTAAAAAAATAATATATATAATAATTTTTAGATTGTATATATACACGTATACGTGTATGTGTAGATGTGTGGGAAACCTCTTATTGCGTATTTGTGGATTATAATCGGACAAAGATTGATGTGTTTTAGATAACGATTACAGCTCGTCCACAGTTTTGCTGAATACTACCCGATAATGCTAATGTTTGTGTTCATGTATACTATACCAATGAACTATTAACTCAGTAACCAAATGGTTGAACCGTACGGCGTATTTGGAAAGGTCTTAATCACTCCAGGTCTGAAACATGTCATCTCAGATATGTTTGTTTGTGCGGCAAATGATACGGATATCTAATTTTCGTTGCTAACTATCTAATTTTCATTGCGAACAATCAGGTTTGTTTAGAGTCGACAAACAAATCCCAAAGAATTAGTCGGTTAGACTTCTGTCCCTCGAACACCCTTAATTATTCAAAAAATACTATTAACTCATTTTGAGTAACATATTCTCAAAACTATAACTATAAACTAATGAATAATAGTAAAATCATATAGATAAGAAGATGATAATTTTTTAAAAAATTTATTAAATTTTCTTTCTTTAAAAAAAACTAAAAGTTTTTTATTATTTATATTAGATGTTTTCTCTAATGTTTTATATTATTAGTTAATAAAGGTAAACTGTAAATTAAAAAAAAAAAATATATATATATATATGATATACTATGTACTTAAAATTATGAATATTAATAGCAAAAATTAAGATGTATTTATTATCAAAATTAATATATTTTTAATATGTGTGAAAGATGAAGAAATACTCTTTTACATAGAGAGAGGGATTATATTTTTCTCAAAAAAAAATAGGGAAGGATTATAACATTTTTAGGACGGATGCAACCACAAACACAAGGCTATTTTGTTCTTTGACAAAGCAGTCCTCCTTACCAGTGCAAATGCATATAAATTATCTTTCAAAGGTGATTTAACAAAAACGATCTTACAGTTGTTGCCAAAAAAAAAAAAAGATCTTACAGTTAGTTTGGTATATCCGAGAAATTAGGTGTAGAGGACCTTACCGTCCGTCTTTGTCGAACACAAAGTTGTGGATGGTAAGCTAATCATTTAACGAATTTACATACTTCTTATAATTGGTCTTATATACTTATTTATGGCAAAATAAATCAAATGGTAAGATAGTACTGCTAATGATTAGACATTAGATAACGGTCCAATGTCATATACTTACTTATATACTTATGTAGACATCAAAATAGACCTAACATAGCCCTTCTTCAAAGAAAAAGAAGGCTAACATTTATTAAGGTGATTGCTTTTTATATAGGATCTTCTGTTTCAAGAGTTTTATTGACTCACGCACATATATGATGCTTATGTACATGCATTACATGAAACAAACAAGCAACATGATTTTTGGAATACTAATTACTTCAGATTTCTAATCATTGTAAATTTGTAATGATTTGATTAAGTCCAGTTATGCTATATAATTTTAAGCAGCGCCATATAGATATTGATCAATATTCTTAAGTGTAGTACATTTAGCATTATTCTTTTGTTTTCTTGAGATTTAAATATTTTAAGAAAAAGGTTACAGAGTTATTTAAGAGAAATTTATAGATTATATTAGAACTAGAGTGAGTTACAAATAAATATTAGAGCTAGAGTCCAAAATTAAAGCAGAGACAAGCCAGTTGGGATGGTGTTGACGTGTTCTTCATCTAAGTGCACGACAATTGTGCAGCTAATCTACTTTAATTTTCTCGTCTTGTAAAAGAAATGCATAAAGCTTCGTTATAATAAGTTATTCTTTACAACTAATATAGCTTATCGTTTTCTGGAAGTGTTTGTTTATTAATGTTTAATGGAGTAGTACATAACTGTCGAAATATATACACATTTCTTTTTTTTCTTTAGCAGTAGTTGTAATTATTGCCTGATTAATTATAGATTACTACTTTTACGATGTATGAATATGAATATCTATTCTTTTTTTAAATGACTATAGTCTACTGTTTCTATATTGAGTTGCTAATACATTTTATGGATTTGGAATGTTTTAAGCTTTCATGAGAAGTTTGTTTCTGCCCCCACCCCAAAAAAAAAAATAAGGATTTAAGGTTACATATGATCTAAGCAGTCTTAACCATATCACTCAAGTAAAGGTCTTAGATGATTTAACTAACTACCCAATTACCACTATAGCAATTTGTACCTGCACGCCTATCATGATGCCATCACTATACAAAGGGGAAGTATAAATCAATCTTTGTATGCAAAATATACTCTAAATTGATGAATTACTATGATTTCAAGTCTCACGTGATTATATTAATTGAATGTACAATATTTTAATTTTTAAAGATGAAAACAGAAAAGCAAAAAAAAAGAGAAGAAATGAAAACAACAAAACATCACAAAATTGGAGTAATTATCTCCAGATTTTGAGAACAACTTAACACAAGAAGCTTTGCCTAGCAAGCAACGAGTGTTACTATCTGCTTAAAGCTATCAACGACAATTAATAAGTTTTCATCTTTAAGCTATCAACAACACCACCATCATCACTAACATCACCACCATCATCACTAACATCAGTACATCACCGTCATTAACATCCTCATCCACATCTATATCATCAAGCACATCCATTTCATATAAAATTAATGATAAATTATATATGCTTGTCATAATAGGATAAATTACATATTTTGTAATACAGCACTAAGGAACACTTAATTCTTACTCCAGTTTGTGCTTCGACTCAAATTAGCAACCCTTAATAATAGCTTTTAGCTTTTTCTCAATCTTGACTCTTTCAACGAACATTCTCGCCGTAAGCTCCTAACTATCTCTCATCCAATGGACCACAAACGCCAAAGAAAAACAAAGACAGAGCGAGAAACAAGACAGGAACAGAGAAAAATAGAAACACAAAAAAAAACACAAGGTTCTTGAAACAATAGTGAAAATGGCCATGGCCTGGCTAATATGGCCGCTCGTACTATTCCTAACAACACTTCCCGCAAATTCAATAACTGAATCAGAATCATTGCTAAAGTTCAAGCAATCATTAACCTACACCACCCTTCTCGATTCTTGGACACCAGATTCAGACCCTTGTGGAGGAGTGCAACCATGGGTTGGAATACTCTGCAAAAAATACTCAGTGTATGGCCTCAGGCTCGAGCACATGGGTCTCTCAGGAACCATCGACGCTGCCTCCTTAATGGCCTTACCAGCTTTACGCACAATAAGCATAATGAACAACTCTTTCACCGGTGACATACCCGAGTTTAACCAGTTAACCGGTCTGAAATCTATTTTTTTATCAGGCAACAGATTCTCTGGTAACATCCCTTCAAACTATTTCGCAACGATGGTTTCTCTGAAGAAAGCTTGGCTCTCAGACAACGAGTTATCTGGTCTCATCCCTCTCTCGTTGGCCAAGTTGCCTAATCTGATAACGTTACACCTCGAAAACAATCAGTTTATTGGGATTATACCGAACTTCACGCAACCGAGTTTAGTTGATCTTGATCTTTCAAACAACAAACTAACCGGAGAGATACCACCCGGTTTGTCGAGATTCGACGTGAGGATTTTTGCGGGGAATCCAGGTCTTTGCGGTGAGAAACTGGCAAATACATGCACGCAGGTGAAACAATCGAGTGCATCGATTATAATAGACGGGACAATGAAAGATGCGTATAAGACTAAGTACTATATAGCATTTGGTACACTAGGGCTCCTTTTATTGGTTACCATCATCTCCTTGTTCTTCAAGAAAAAGAAAAAGAAGAGAAAGAAGAGGAAGAGGACGCGTCGTCGTAACTCTGAACAAGACAGCAACGACGACCAACAAATCCAGGTTAGTCCACATCACATTCTTTATCAGGGTTGGCTCTGAGATTTATGGGGCTTGAAACTATTAAAGAACACGGAGAACTAATCAATTCAACCAACGCGTGTTGGCCTAGTGGTAATGGAACTCCGGCTGGAGTGCCCGCCCAGGTTCGATTTGCGTTGGTCATCAGGAAATTTAACATGCGGACTTGCTCTGGCGCCCGAGATGGAACACCGCTACTCGGCCATGACCCACCTTCGGGTGTGCGTCTGCGCCACTAAAGAGTTCGGTCTCTAATCTAGGCCACTAAGGTGGGGCCTAGACACTCGGTTATCAAAAAAAAACTAATCAATTCATATTTTTCTTAATCAACTTAAGGACTAAAGGATTTATACATATTATTTATTTAAATTTTGGGGATCAAGGTCAATAATTCATTTAGCTAAAGATATGTTAGGCATTGAAGAGTTTTTTAAACTATTATAAGAAACAATTTCTTGATGTGGTTGACAGGTAACTGTTGAAGGATCAAGAACTGGTAGCTCGAGGCAGAGTAAGAGCAGTCACTCCGGCGAGCTGACTGATAGATCAATAGGTGTGACGGAGACGGCGGATTTGGTGATGTTGAACAACGAAAAGGGTGTTTTCGGTTTATCAGACTTGATGAAAGCAGCTGCTCACGTTATCGGAAACCCCGGCAGCCATCCAAGCAGCAGTGGAAGCGTGGGATCTGCTTACAAGGCAGTGATCTCTAGCAGCCTCACGGTGGTGGTGAAGCGTGTGACGGTAATGAATCAAGTTAGTATAGACGTGTTCGACAAGGAGATTAGAAACTTAGGTAACTTGCGTCACAAGAATGTATTAACACCTCTTGCTTACCATTTCCGAGAATATGAGAAACTGCTTGTGTTCGAATACGTCCCAAACTTGAGTTTGCTTCACCGGTTACACGGCGATCACGGCGAGGCTTCTGAGTTAGATTGGCCTTCACGGCTTAAAATCATTCAGGGAATCGCTAGAGGGATGTGTTACCTCCACAAGGAGTTAGGGTTTCTAAGCTTACCTCACGGAAACCTAAAGTCGAGTAATATATTTATCGCCGACGATGGCGAGCCACTCGTCTCTGAGTTTGGACTACAAAGACTGATCAACCCTGATGATCAAGTTCAATCACTAATAGCGTTTAAATCTCCTGATGAAACTGTTTCCGACAAGTCTGATGTGTTTAGTTTCGGGGTCGTGGTGTTAGAGATTCTCACAGGGAAGTTCCCGTCACAATACGCTGGAATGAACCGAGCGGGCGGGACTAATGTAGTTGAGTGGATTGGCTCCGCCTTGGAACAAGGCGGATGGATGGATCTGCTTCATCACACGGTTGTAACAGCCGGGGCTGAGGATGAAACGTCGTCGGATGAGATAGAGAATGTTTTACGGATTGGTGTGAGGTGTACTGGAGATGATCCAGATGGGCGGCCGAGTATGGCTCAAGTGGTTGACGAACTAACGATGGAAGATTCTAGCGACGACTTCATCACCATAGAAACTTAGCTTCGCTTTTACTTTTGAGTTTCAATGAATTAGATTCCTGCAGTTTCATCATTTTTGTTTTAGTTATGATTTTTCACTTATATTTGTATATGATTAAAAAAGTTTAGATGAGGTTTCTTGTAACAAAAAGTGTGTGTTTATCGTTTTGGACATAGATTATTTTCCTAGTTTTACTAACACTTGTAAACTTTGGTATTAGAGATGATAAAGTGATATACAAGTCAAAGATTATTATGTGCCAGCAAGGAGAACCATATAGCTTAACCGTGTTGATGTAAATCGAATCAAGGTTGGGCATAAGCTACTTTAAAGACCACGCTAAAGCAACGACTATTTGAGGAAATTACAAGATGGTTTGTGTGCTAGTCCTAATGGTGTGAATACTGCTTTGGCAAGATGCAAGAGCATATGTAATGTCAATGGCTAAGAAAGGAACCAGCACGAGATGCCCTACATAAGAGTTGTGTTTGTTATATATTGATGCTTATGAGTAAAAGAGAGAGAGTTAAAGGATCATAGGTTGACTGATAGAAAGCTAAAGAGATAAAAGCACTGAGAGTATAAGCTTTGGAAACAGCTAGTACTCTTAAGTTATAAGGTAGAAGTTAAGTATACATTCAATGCTAGTGAAAGGCATTAGTGTAGAATATTTGTAACTTCTTCTTGTAAACCATGTTAGGATTAAGAATCTAGCTGCTTCCGGATTCTGGGCACCGCTTAGATCAAATGTAGCTTCCTCGTTAACATGATCAAATGTTACGATAAGTTTCCTAGTGTACTCCTTGTTCATGTTTCTCATTTCTTCTTGCAAAGCTTCCATTTTCAGTTTTTCTCTTATTTGGTTTCAGAAATATAAAAACCGTTTGAATATTTGTGAATATCAGCTTGATTTCTCTTCAGTTTTGGCTCTAAACACCCATGGTTAGTTAGTCTCAAGTTACAAACGTCCATGCTGTAAAATTTGGTATTAGGGACACACATTAGTACACGCACAAAAAAAGTCCTTGGCGATTTAACAATTAAAGAAATCACAAATTACGTTCAATACCATGTTTTGTCGTCCAATAATGATGCCTATATCACGTGTTTGTGTATACGTACGTGGAGCAAATACTGAAATTGTATGACAGCTAAACACAGCTGGAGATTAACGGATCGTGATATTATTATCGTTTTTTCTTCTTCTTTCTCTCTATGAATACTTTAATTATTGCCAGGATTTATAGACAACAAAATACCCATCCCTGCATTTGATTATTATTCACTCATATTTTAGCTAGGAACAGAAAAATAATATGAGTACGAATAAATTATATTATTGTACTACTATAATTATTTTATTAAATACTAATAGGTTAGATGCAAATCATGCAATACTACAATAAGTTAAGTGGCATTAACTATAAATCTATGCACACTGAACCGGGACAAATACTTCTGGATTTAGTGAATATCCAAACATCAAATCAAAATATATAATGATGATTATATAATCGACATATCTAATGACATTTGCTTACCCAATAAATGTTTTGCATAAGGTGAGCTGTTCACATTCATATCAATGACATACGAGAGGCTTTTTAATTAATGACAAATGAATTTTAATTGAAATCTTCATCGGATTGTACTCCTATTCGTTTTTAAAACTAAAGTTTAGATTAAAAAAGACTCCAGTAATTCTCTCACTGGCTTAATCCAGCACAGCACCACTCGTGCAACATTATTATATTTTCTTTGTATTATTGAATTCATGTTTCTCGACTGTCCCATATCAATAACAAATGATAACTGATAATGTTCCCCCATGGTAATTTAAGGAACTAATCATTCAGTTCTATATATTCTGTTTACCAGAAATTATAGTTACTGAACATTAAGATTACATCCCCCATGGTAATTTATGGTATGACTCAACATTAGATAAAGCATAGAATTAGAAATGATAATTTTATGTATAAACTTTATATCCACGGTGGATAATCCACCTAATTAAGATGATGTATTAACGTTTAAAAGGTAGAAGAAGAAAAAGAAGAAGAAGAGTTGGGCTTTCTCTTTTGTTGTCTTGAGTTATAATTTGTTTTATCATCGTGAATCTTTTTAAAAGCCATAATGCGTGGGAAATCGGGTGCAAGCACGTGAATGTCGGCCCATTGTTGCAGTCGAATAGTTGACTTAATTCACATGATTCTGATTATTAAAAAAAACATATTTCTTTCTGTTTAACCATAACTATAATAGAACTTGCATTATTTTAATTTGTAAAAGGACTTATGATAACTAGTGAATCGTCCTGGGTATTTTATTCTGATCCAAAAACTCAACCAAACTTATAAAACTGAATTTAAACGGAACCAAAACTTATCTATCGAATCTAAAATCTCTCTGTCAAAAAAAAAAAAAAATCTCTCTGTCCAAAAGATATATATACCGATTCACACTCAAATGAAAAATTGAATGTACATGTTTAAACTTTTATATTTTTATACTCTTCTATAATTTAGTTATAATAAAAAGATTTAGTTAATATAATTTGTGATATTTTAAATACTAAACATTAACTGTCTAATTTTAAATTTATACAAAATCTCATTTTAATTTATTTTATATATTTTCGAGTAAATTTAGTGTTGGTAAAAAAAAACGAATAGTCATTTTTGTAAAAAAAAAATAAATGTATAAAATATTATAACTAAATTTCGAGCCTATATTCTACCAAGAAAAAGTAAATCTAACAAGAATCTACCCAAACTCAAACCCGAATGTCGAGACGTAGCAGTGACTTTCAAGTTAACAGTTAAACTTACAATAAAATGCAGTAGTATCGATCAAAGTGCTTCTATCAACTTTAAAAAAAAAGGCGCATCATCGCATGGCGGTTAAGAGCTGTTAAAAAAAAGCATACAAGTTAAAACCCGGATGTGTTCAGTTCAGTTCTGTCTTAGTTAATTAACCAAAAAGCATCTTTTTAAGTTCTTACTCTCTCCTCTCTCTCCACTCTTTTTGTTTGTATTCTCGTATGAACCCATGGAACCGCAAGAGCAACCTCACGGAACCTCCGGAGACGACTGTTCCGTCTCCGGCTTCGACTCTGCCGAGAAAGTCATCATGAAATGGGACGCCACAGCTTCAGAAGAAGCCAGAGAGAAAATGATATTCACCGATCCGCAAGAAGTAAAGCTTTACCTCCACGCCGTCGACGAAATCCAACGCTACCTCTCACCATCATCATCATCCCCCGAAGACCTCGAGTCCCGCGCCAACTCAGCGATCCAGATCGCCATGGCTCGCCTCGAAGACGAGTTCCGCAACATCCTCGTCTCTCACAGCTCCCCCATCAACTCCGACTCTCTACTCTCCTCTTCCTCCTCCTCTTCCCACCTCGAAGTCGAAGAAGACACAAACAACAACAACAACAACAACAACGAAGATGACGATCAAGAAGATGAAACGGATCTTCTCAAACGAAGCAACTCCAGCAGCTCCACCTCTTCAGCTACAGTTCGGTTACCAACGGGACGTGGCAGCTACAGCAGATCCACGAGCAGCATACGCGAGATCGAGCTGATCCCGATCGACGCCGTGATCTACTTAAGCTGGATCGCTCGCCGCATGGTCTCCGCAGGCTACCTCCGCGAGTGCATTCAAGTCTACGGCAGCGTACGCAAATCCGCAGTGGACTCCTCCTTCAGGCGCTTAGGGATCGAGAAGCTGAGCATCGGAGACGTGCAGAGACTTAACTGGGAGGCCCTCGAGCAGAAGATCCGCCGCTGGATCCGAGCAGCGAAGATCTGCGTGAGAGTCGTCTTCGCTAGCGAGAAGCTTCTCTGCGAGCACGTCTTCGAGAGCGTTGGAGCTGTTAACATCCACGAGGCTTGCTTCATGGAGACAGTAAAAGGTCCCGCGATCCAGCTTTTCAACTTCGCCGAGGCGATTAGTATAAGTAGAAGATCGCCGGAGAAGTTGTTCAAGATCCTTGATCTCCACGACGCGCTGATCGAGCTTTTGCCGGATATCGAGTCCGTGTTCGATCTGAAGTCTTCTGACTCGATTAGGGTACAAGCCGCGGAGATACTCTCGAGGTTGGCCGAAGCTGCGAGAGGGATCCTGTCGGAATTCGAAAACGCTGTCTTGAGGGAACCGTCGAGGGTTCCTGTCCCTGGAGGGACGATACATCCGTTGACTAGGTATGTGATGAACTACATTAGTTTGATCTCTGAGTACAGACCGACTTTAGTTGATCTCATCATGTCGAAACCGTCGCGAAACGCGACGGATACAAACGCGCCGGAGATGGATTTCTCGGAGGTTGAGAATAAAGGACCGTTGGCGCTACATCTGATCTGGATCATACTGATCTTGCAGTTTAATCTCGAAGGGAAGTCTAAGTATTATAGAGATGCGGCTTTGTCGCATCTCTTTGTTATGAACAATGTGCATTACATTGTTCAGAAGATTAAAGGGTCGGTGGAGTTAAGGGAAATGATTGGAGATCTTTACTTGAGGAAGCTTACGGGTAAGTTCAGGCAAGCAGCTACTTATTACCAAAGAGCTGCTTGGGTGAAAGTTTTGTATTGTTTAAGAGATGAAGGGTTGAGGACAAAGGGGAGTTTTGCATCAGGTGTATCAAGGAGTGCGTTGAGAGAGAGGTTTAAGTCTTTTAATGCTTTGTTTGAGGAAGTTCATAGGGTTCAATCACAATGGTTGGTTCCGGATTCTCAGCTTAGGGAAGAGCTGAAGATATCTATATTGGAGAAGCTTAGTCCTGCTTACAGGTCGTTTCTTGGACGGTTCAGGAGCCATATAGAGAGTGGGAAACACCCGGAGAATTACATCAAGATCACAGTTGAAGAGCTGGAGACAGAGGTTCTTGACTTGTTTGAGGGGTTAACTGCAACTCAGCAGCATCAGAGAAGACGATCAGAATGAGAGATAAGTGCAATCTTTCTTTCTAACTCTTCTGAGTTTTAGAGCTTTACAAAAAGATAGATTCTTTGAATTTTTTTTCGCAATTTCGGGTTCTTTGCGTGAGAGCCAAGAACCAAAGTCAAGAAAGGAACTGATTCAACCTTTGATTTTTAATTTTTCAGATTCATGAGTTTGTAATGTTGTATGAACTTATAATACATCTGTTTGGTTACTTGCCAAATTCTTAGCTCACATCTTTATTTGTTCATATGATGAAATTGTATTGTGTCATTGTCATATCCCTTTGTACGCTTATTTGCTATTGTTAGTTTTGGTTTTATCCATTCATGTCCTTTGTAGACCAAACAAGCATATGTTATAACAAGACAAAACCTAGCTCTCATGTGTAAAATGAAACTTAGGTAAACATTACATTTAATACAATAACATGGCACACAAACTAACACTACAACACTAAATACAAAGGCTGCTTTTTGGTCTCGTGACCTCTGTATTGTACAAACGTGACCTATAAAAATAGGTATAGTAAAAATTTGAGGTTCCTATAAAAGTAAAGATGTGTAAGTAGAAGATCGATTGTGACTACTGTCCAACTACTTTACTCATTCTGTCTTCTTCCCCCAAAATTTTGTCTGATTCTTTTTTTCTCAGATTGTAAAGATCTTGTTTCTGAGAGGTTCTTGACTTCTTGATAAGGAAACAGAGATGGTTTAATGAGGGTTAATGTGTAATCACCCTTCTCAAACTCCCCACTTGAATCACCAGAAGATCCAGAGAATGCACACCTACAAGAAGACACAAACACTTAGACGCCATGCTATTTGCATCTTCCCTTCAACAACCAAATTCTTGAGATGAGGATCACAATGAATGAAGCAGAGGTTGTACATTCCAGTCCTAGTGATCTGGACTTTGTTCATTTTTAACAAACCTTGTAACAGCCTGACCAGTGAAGCCTACAGGATAGTCAGAGGGTTTAGCTGACAACGTATTATTTAAAAGTTTTAAAATGGGCCTACTAACTGTTATGAAAGATATGATCCATGAAAACTGGATGTCATATTTGGGAGACAAAGAAGTGGTCTCTTATGATAGGCCTTCGGGTCCATGAAAACTGGACTTTACTTGTATTTTTTGGGAGACAAGTCAGTATGTACTGTTGAGTGCTTGTCCTAGAAAATATATGAAGAATGACTTTTAGATTGTAATTTCATGGATCTTCAAACTTTTATAAGTTATATTGAGAAATTACAATATTAAAATAACAAGGCTTAGATATAACTTCTTTATTAATCTGAATATATGTAGTTGGTCTTGTCTGCGTTACAAGCCATGGATTACAAGAAAGAAAAAAAAAAGTGTATATATAAACTAAGGTTGTCCACCTGAAAAATACAAAATTACGTACATGTATGTATGTATATATACAATTCTCCCTTTATATACATACATGCATGTAGGCATATAAATATCTCATGTACTGTATTCTAATGTTTTAGTTTCAAGAACATGTTTGGTTTTTATGGACTCAAAACATGCAAAAATAGAAGAAACTCATGGGCTCTACTGATAGATACCCAAAAACTTTCATCTGAAAGAAAAAGAAAGTTGATAGATCCTTTACTTTTGCATTGACTTGATACCACTGAAGATTCTCCATCTGGGAAAGACATAAGAACTAATATCAGATTTAAGATTAGAAGAAGCACAACTAATGAAATGAAGACTTATTGTTCAGGTTAACTATTACCTGTACTTTCTTGTAAGAACATGAAAAAGGGAAACTGGGATTAGATCTCAAGAACAATGACTGCAACCAAAAAAGAAGAGAAAATCAAATCAGTTCATGAACTTAAAGAAATTTAAGAAATCTGTTCAAAAGATCTGAAACTCACAATCAGAATCTGTTTTGACCCATTTACCCCCATCGCCGCTACCTCTTCCTTCTTCTTCCTCGTTCTTTAATGAAAGCTGTTGCTTATCTTGCACGTATTTCTTTGTTGATGTTTGCTTCGAGAGAGCTTGAGCATTAATCTTCTTGTGTAGCATCACTCTCAGTAACTGTACATATATTGTGTAAATTATAAGCTAATATGATGAAGAAAATACTTTAAATTAGTATTCAAAATCGTGCTATGAGCTTTGGTTAGTACCTTTTCCATTCTGGATTCTTGAAACGTGTCTCTCAAGCTAGGGCTGGGAAGAGGAGAGAACCCTTCTGAACATACGAACATCTTCTTGAGGAGATAAGAAACAGAGGTTTTGCTCAAATCTCTCTTCTTCTTCTTCTTATGGTTACTCTCTGTAGAAATAGCTTTGCATCTGCCCAAGATAACACTGATGGTACGTTCAATGTCTTCTTCGTTCTCATTAGACTCTCCACCACAAGAGAGGGCGTTGCTGATTCTTCTATCGACTTCAAGACTCGAAGGACAGTTCAAGAATCTATCTAAAGGAAGATTCGCAAGTTCTCTATTCACATCTGACTTTCTTTTCTTGTTCTTTCTTGTCAAAAGCTTCGTCAGTTCCTTTTGCAGTTTTCCAACTTCCTCTGGAGTAAAATCTTCAAGATCACTGGAGAAAGAAAGATCTTGATCTCTATCTTGCGCCTGGCCTTCCACGTGCACGTTAGAGGGATTCTCCTCTTGAATCACTTCTTGAACAATTTGGATTGGTGAATGATCTTTGGACACACTACCGAACGTTCCAATCGCAAGTAGTCCGTGAGGCCAGTCGCTGAACTCCTCTCTTGGTTGATCTGTGATTTACAAACATAAGACAAACAAAAATGATCAGAAAGGCAATTAATTACAACCGTTGCTTTGCACATATTCCAAGTAGACAACAACTCTGGTAAATAAAAAGATTTGTTTCGTAGATAATACAATAAAATGTGTATTTCTTCAACTTACGAGAAGAAGCAGAGGATATGGTTGGTCTATTAGTGTTCCCTTGTTTCCCATGTAACTTGTTCTGCATCCATCCGAAGAACTGAAAAAAAAAACAACGTTTATGAGAACTTGTGTTTATTTTCAGACACATCTGAGAAATGAATGAACATGAGTGGTGAAACGGACCTTCATGTCTTAAAGACCCCGACTAAGAACACGAACAGGAAAAGGTGATAAGGAAATAAAATAACTCGGGTTCTTGGTGAATCAAGAAGCTTAAATACAAGCAAGAATTCAAGAAATAAGATGTTTGAATATATTTGTTTTGATGAATTTGATGGTTCAAGTTCCAAAATTGACGGTCTTAGTTCTTCGTTCAGATTCACTTCTTCAAAAAAATAAGGAAGATGAAGAAGTAGAAAGATTTTTTTTTTTTGTTTGGTTAACTTCTGTTCAGTTCTCACACTCCTCTTTATACAGCTCACGACGTACGGCTCATATCCCCATGCAAACGATCGTGGTCCAACGAAACATTTTTTTTTTTTTTGTCAAAACGAAAACATTCTCTCATGCGTATTTGTATTTCAATTGTATTGTAGCTAATCAAATATTATAAAATATAAAACGCTAAATTAATATCTTAAATATTGATTTTATATCGGAGAGAACGTCACGGCTTTGATCACATTTACTATAATGGCACTTTGTATGTTCATAAATTCCGTAACCTTTTTTTTTGAGAAACGGCATATAAATTCCCAAATCTCTTTACCATTTTTTGACTATCTATAAAAGTAGAGAAAAGGTTGAATTCCTAGAAATGTATTTGTTTTGTCTTTGAGTGGTTAGTGGTTACAAAATTAACACGAAGATACAGATGCTACTACACATCTTGTCATTTTTGTGTTAATTTCGTCAGATTTTTTTTTTCTTCTGATGTATGGAATACGATTATGGATGTATGGTAAATATATTAAAAGAATTAATGAAAGAAAAAATACATAGAATCAGATGACTTATAAAATATTTTATGAAATTGATGTAATAAGTTCTTAGTTTAGTGCAGTGCACCCAGAAATTGACGCTATTAGGTTTTTAATGCCATATTATATGGAATACTAATACTTTTCTTATACTTTCTTTAATGCCATATTATTTGGAATACACAAATTTCCTTATAAATAGACAATAATATTTAATGCCATTATTTGGAACATAAATTTCCTTATAATTTATTTCCAATGCCACTTTATTTGGTAAAATATGTGTTTGAAACATGGATCGTTTTAAGTCCTTTCTCAAAAAAAAAAAAAAAAGCATAGATCGTTTTATTACTTTCAGAACTAAAATAATTTGTTTTCAAAAATAAGAACTAATAAGAAATTGATCGCTATTATTTGTGACCTCTTCTTGTGGTGAAACGTGTTCCTGAACAAAAATAATTGCTCTTCAAATGTTTTGATCCACTCGTAATTTCTTTTAAAGAAAACGACTATTTGAAATGTCACTAATACTTTTTGGTTAAATAAATGTCACTAATATTGTAAGGCTAATATCAAATTCTAGAGAATTTCAGAAAAATCTAAGACGGAAAGAGACAGAAAGAAAGAGTGAAATTTATGAAGCCAACCCCCACAAAGGAACTCATGCCATTGTCCCCTCATTAGACTCTCTATAGTATTATGGACGTGTAACACATTTTATCTAATCCTCATCTTTTTTAACGGTGCCACGTTAGTGTTACAAAGCTATATATATATATATATCTGTCGATAGAGTACAAAATTTAAACTAGTTATGGAAGTATATTAATATACGAAACCTTTGATACAAAAGATTTGTGGACGTCTTTACCAAAATCGATTTTTGATTTAATGGTGACTAAACCGTTGGATTATTACCATAAACTATTTGATGACACTGATAAGTGATAATACCAATACAGTACATGGTTTCATAGCCATTTGATATTATGTTTTCGAATAAATTATGTAAACAATAATAACATGACCTCCATGTCTTAAATATTCTGCATTTTAATATGTGATATCCTCGTTGTCAAAATACTATTAGATGTATTTCGTAGTATTACACAGTGAACAAAATACAGAGAAGTTTTATGATTTACCGTTTTATATAATGATAATCACATGATTGTGCAAATATTCTTCTAATCCATAAGATAAATAACAAAACACACAATCCTGAAATATTTATTATTTATAACTTTTGAAATTGCTGAGAGTCATTAACTGTTGATATTTTTTCATAATTTCATTATC